CCCACCCTACTACAAGCATACAAAACATATATTTTTTCTGATGGTTTTTGTTGGCTTTGAAATATTATGTTGTGGATATTGTTTCTTTCTTTTGTAATATGATTGCCTACTACTACTATTCCTATTGTGAAAGAGTTATAGCAGTTGGAGGTTGTTTACCATACCTATTGTGAAAGAGTTATAGCAGTTGGAGGTTGTTTACCATACGCATACCGGCAAGAGTTGTCATGAGAATGGATTGTTGGCATCATCTTTTGCCATTTAGGTAACATTTTTTGGCATGAGAATGGATTGTTGGCACGTGTCTTTATCTGGTAGGTGTTAACCGGGTAAGATTTTTGGTTGTTGTTATGTAAGTGTTAATTGGCGACAATTTACTACCCTTTACTTGTCTTGTCGAGTAACATCTTTGTCATGAAAATGTATTGTTGGTAAGCGTTTTTGACCGGGTAGATGATAACTGGGCAAGTCTTTTTTTCCTCAGTTGGGTAAGATTCTTGGTACTTGGTATGTTTTCTTATCGGGTGTGATTCTTGGTTTTTGTCATACTTATCCAGTAAGTTACATCTAGTAAGCGTTTGGTAAATGGCTCATTAGTCGAGTCTTGGTTTGTTCTAGGGTTTCATTTCTTGCGATTTGATGAGAAATGCTTCATTAATTGGTATTTTGTTCTGGAATTTTCATTCTGCACCCCCAACAACAACGTCACTTGTGCTATGTTCTTGAGTCATCTTTTACAAAGGAAAGTCTGGAAAATAATGTTAGATTTTTCTTGCAAATATATGGGAGGAAAGAGAAAAGACAAGGAAATAATAACAGTTAAATTTGTTTATAAAATTATAGATGTATCCTCAATAACAATCCATTGTAAAATGAACAAGGTATATATTAAAAAATGTCATTTTTCCCTTTCGAACATGCTTAAGAACATCATTTTGGGGCCGTTTGTTAAATGCTTACCCGAGTAAACATTTGTCAAGTTACATTACCTTACTGGATGAATATGACAAGAAGTAAGAATCTTACCGGCAATAACGAAGACAATGATTAGGAGGATTACCCGGTCAACAATTAGAACGGTTTAATAAAAAAAAAAAGTTTGAATGAAAAATGAGTTATAATATACTTTTTGGAGCAAAATAAATTCCCTTGATTTTTTTTAATTGTAAATAACCAAAATTAGAGATAAATAAATTATACGAGAAAACTAACATTTTATTCTATTTAATTTTACATTTATGTTATTATACTTTTTGATTAGTTTTTTTCTTCTTGCTTATCAAACATTTACGTATTAATATGAAAAATATATAATAAATATATTATTTGTATTTTATGAATGGGAATTTGTTCGTGTTTATCCAAATAAATTAAATATTTTTATTTATTTAAATATAAATTATGTAAAAATTACAAATGACAAATTGCAAGAAAAAGTAATGTACTTTAACTTAATTCTTATTTTGAGTAACGTCCTTTCAAAACTTTCATTTTGGTATCTAAAATGTAAAATTTTAAACATTTAAGTATCGGAGAACCGGTTGAAGCATTAACCGATTATCATGTTGATGTGGTGAGTGATTTGGTATCCGACTAAGTATTATTTGCTAGTCAACCCAATTTCATCTCATCACTTGCTACATCAATATTACAAACTATATAAATTTTATATCAGGATACAATCAATATTTATAGAAGATTATTAAAGGTTTATTCACTATGATCAAAATATTTATGAAAGTGACATTGATTTATATTAAGAAACAATCGAAATATTTATAATATCAAATACTCATCAGGCTAGACGAACGATTAAGAAGTTGTTTGGGACAGACAATTAGTCATGTACTGTCTCATCCAGTCTGCGTACCAAACGCTACCTTATGGATAAAGTTGTCCATATAGATTAGTTTATCTTTACGAATTATGAAGGTTTTTGTTTGAGAGAGTTTTTATATAGATCGGAAAACGTGTTTTTTTAATTGAGAGTGGTAGGTTTAGAAAAAAAATTGTCTTCCAGCAAAAAGTTTCCTCTAAAAGTTACTGAATAAACTATTTTCTATATAATTAAGCCATGATAAAAAAATCATATATAAGTCTTATTAAGCTACTAACAAACGGTCCGAAAAACTGGTTTTTGTACTTTATTATGTTTATTATTTGAAGATCTCTGTTTATCATTTTATGGGCCTGGGCCATCAGATTTTAAAATGTATGTATTTATGACATGGCCCATGAGTGTTCGACTCAGCCTCAGCACAGCCCCCAAGGCTCCTGAGTCAATCTCAGATTTTCATCCATCATCGACACGATTCACGATTTCCCGCTGAGTCAAACCGGAACTCGATCTTCCTCATCGTCATTCTACAACACTGATCGGAGGTAACATTTCTCCGTTGAAATTCTGTTAAATTCTTGCTAATTTGACGTAACTGCCTTACATTCTTGACGCAATTTCAATATCTGGATTTGGAATAGCTAATTATTGGTATATATGTCTGATGACATTTTTCTATGTTAGTTTCTGTATCGACTATGTTTATCTAGAGATTTTTAGCCTTTTCTCTTCGATTCATCGAACAATCTCTGTTAAGCAACTATTGTAAGATAATGAATCAAAGAAGAATCTCTCTTACGACTGGATCGCACATGATTGATCGCTGGATGTTGACATCAAATACGTGAGCCATTGCTTAATAATTAAGCTAAAAATGAACAAAAGGTCAATAAACTCATAAAGCAAAAAAGCAAACGTGATCTAAGTTTGTAGATCCAGTTTATTGAATTTAATTGTTGGCTAGACTACTTTGCCGACGATTCTACATTTTCCCGGAATTCATCTTCGTTGTGCAACTATTTCCATAACTGAATTTACTCTCTCTCTCTCTCTCTGTTAGTGATTGAGATTACAAATAGGCAATTAGAAAGATGGAAAAGGAATTAATCGAATAAATGATTTTGGTGTTTCAATTGTCTATCCTGATTTATACCAATTTGAACACTCGTTGTAAGTTCATTTAAGTGCTTGACAAATCGATGTTCATAACGAGGTTTATTTTAGCTGAGCTAGGAGTTGTGTGTATTTTGGATAAATTTAGAGAGGGAATACTGTGGTGGTTGGGGCATGTACTTAGGAGACTATAGTTGGTACTGGTTAGGAGGGTGGAGAGCGTCACTACGCAGGGGGTAAGGAGGTGAGGTGGGCCAAAGAGGACGTCAGATGAACAGTTCTTGAGGCGTTAGTATTGTCCTTTGTCCGAGGGTATGATCTTAGATAAGAGCTCTGGAAGGTTGCAGATTGGGGAATTGATTGCTTGTAGGACTGTATTTTGGGAGAGATAGTTAGGAGGGTTGGTTGGGGAAGGATTAAGAGCCTTCAGTTAGGTTTGTGGTATCAGTTGGTATACATAGGGAGTTTCTTTGGTTTGTTCTTTGTGTTGTTTAGTTAGCGGGTTCTTGGCATTCTTTTCTAATTACTAATTATGTAGAAAAAAAATATTCTTTTTATGCAAAAATGGTGGCTTATAGCAATATTTTCTTAATTATTTTTTTACTATTTCTTTTTGGCGAACCGGGTGTTTTCTCAGAAACAGCATCCCTGGTCTCTTGAGGCAGAGGAAAGTTCTGCCTACATCTTATCCTTTTTAAAACCTAATTTTGGGTGGGATTATTTGTTTGTTTCGGAGCCGTTTTGGTGGGGCGTACTAAACCCACCACCTAGAAACTATTCCCTAGTGCAGCAGGCTCAGTACCCGATGACAGGCCTTTCATGCTCGTTCTTGCTCCAGCATGAAAGTTCGGAAATTTATGTAATGAAATTAAAATGCACCAGAAACTTGCCCGTTTAGGAGAACCAGAAGATGATCTTAAAGCTCTGGACTGTAGATTCGTAAAATATAACCTAATTTCGAATATATCTGATAGGAATCAAAACTAAGAACTCGATTGTACGGAAATAAGAACATGGGAAATAGCTGCTACTTGGTATTCATATAATTAAAGGAACAAAATCAAAAGGATAACCACAGTATGGTAAGCCCTTTTGCCCAAGCTACTGATAACCGAATTCACTAAAAAAAGAAAGTAAAATCTCTCCTCCCCACTGCTCTACCAACAAGAGAAAATATATTATTCCCTCCACTTTCTCACTCTTCATTCCTAACAACTTGCTCCCATTTCCCCCTACACGTGTCCCTCTCTAAACCTCCTTCTAGAATAAACTTTCCAAGCTTTAGGCCCATTTGGTTGTTGATCCAATAAGTGATCCGTAGCACTTTCCCTATCAATATCCTTGTCCATTTAGACATGATGTTGTGAAATGGCTAGTGAAATGTCTTACGTCTCATGAACGACCGTTTATTTGGAAGCTTTGCATTCCAGAGAGGGTGCACATTTTCTTGTGGCATATAATCCGTAAGAGGAGCCTGAGTAATCCCTGGCACCTTCACCATTTTTGTTCATGTTGCTCCTTGATCCACGTTCTTTAAACTTAGCTTATAAAAGTCCTTACCTTCTAGGAACTCACAGCTGCAACAAAATTAGGGAAGGACCTGTCAGATACGCATTTTTTAGGCTTTTGCATTGTTCTTTTCGTTGTGTTTTCTTTAGAAAACTGTTGAGAATCTGGTTTCCTGGTTACTATCACTTGCTTAATTTATTGGATCGTGTACTAACAACAGTTTCCAAATGCTATATTTCTACCCTACAATGCCTTAGGTTTCATCATTCATGAAATCAGTATTGGGATGACCCAAGAATCACTCTTGTTTTTAAGGCAGAAAAACTCGAGTGTCTCACACCCTATATATAGTGTCTGTCTCATATATTTACTTGAGAGATCGACGGTTATGGGGTAGTTGGGCAGCTAGAAAATAACTGCACAACAATTACAACTGCTTGTGGGTAAGATTGAAACAGATCAGAGTCCGACTCAGAAGCTTTGAGTCAGAGGCTTAGAAGCTCTGAGTCTGAAGGTTCAGAATCTTCTGATGCAGACTCAAGAGGCTTTTGATTCCATACGTAGCCTTCAAAACACCAAGTTTCTAGCCTTCTGCATTTCATTCATAATGTTCAGAAAACATAGAATTCTTAAGTAATCCCTTAGGACTCCGCAAGCTCCCTTGACATTCGTTATAGCAATCTAAGTTCATAGTGACAATATCACCTAGCTCACGTTATGTTTGCCTCCACCTAGTCGATCCCTTGTAAATCATAATCACACTAAAAATGCTTAACAACATTAAAATCACCAACAAAAACTTTCCAAATTGACATTTTTCGTTCATTTTTAGTAAATGAATGGTGAACGAAACCAAATTCTTTTCCTTTACGAGCAGAACATCATCTCTTCATTGTTGGTATTACCCAAACTTGCCATCAAAATCACTTATCTACGCCCGATTTTCTTATTGGTCCAGTGATATCCTTTTTATACCCTACTGGCTTATGAATCATGCCTTCCTGATGGTAGTTGATTTGGAACAACTAACAGGTGCAATTGATTCAGGAGATGGGTTTGTGGACTTTACTGGAGGGTTGTCTGCTTATTGCCAATGCATTAGCAATATTAAACGAGGACCGTTTCCTAGCACCCAGAGGTTGGAGCTTTCAGGAGTATTCCGGGGTTAAAAGGAATTCGCTCAAAGGACAGATCATCGGTCTCATTTACGCCACCCAGTACTTACGAGTTCTTCTTATGATCCTCAACTCCCTTTGCATTGTCGTAAAGCTTGTTTCTGGTTGATTATGGTACACCCTACTACAGTTTTTCTTTCTTTTTATCTTTTGGGGAATTGTTCAAGATAGCCATTCTAGACTACCCAATTCATTTTATAGCCATTTTTCTACTCAATTGATCAAAATAGCAAAGATTTCATAAAATAGCACTTTAGCAACCTGCAAAATCTACTCTTAACCACAATGGTGGTGGCATGGGGATGTGGTGGACTATCCCATCTATCCCGGGTTCGAGTCCATGCGATAGCTTCTTGTGGCCAGGCTTAGTCTCAGGCGACCGTAATTTGCTAGGATGTAGTCTACGAAACTGCCTAGATGAAACTTTATAAAAAAAAATCTAGTTTTTATGAATTTAATATTCCTGAAGTACCAATTTAGCAAGTTGCTAAACTGCTACTTGCAAAATGTTGACGCGGCAAGTAGCACTTAAGCAAACAACTTGCGGAATCTACTTCTTATGAAGTGTGCTCTCTGGGCCTTACTTATTGATGACTGATCTATATTCTCAACTGATGACATTGAATTTTAATATTCATAAAGTACCAATTTAGCAAGTTGCTGAAGTGCTACTTGCGAAATGCAGGCGTCGCAAATCGCGCCTTAGCAAGTAGCACTTTAGCAGGTGCGTAATTGGCACTTCCACGTCAACATTTCGCAAGTAGCACTTTAGCAGCTTACGAATTCGCTACTTTATGAGTAATATATGTTTTAAAAAATGTGGATTTTGCAAATTGTTAAAGTGCTACTTGCGAAATCTTGGCTATTTCGCTCGATTGGTTGAAAAATATGGCTATAAAGTGAAGAGGGGACGCCAAGATTATTTTGGACAATTTTCCTTATCTTTTGCCTACCCAGTAACTTGGAACTTTTTATACAGGAAATGGAGATGCATATACAATGAGTAGGAAGTTAAGTTTTATGTTTTTTTTTGCTTTTGTTTGTATTGTTTTTGGTTCCTTGTATCTGGATTTACAAATTTCAAGCGTACTTGTTTTTCTCTCTTTCACAAGCCGACAGTTTTCATAGAAACAACTGCTCTACTATATAAGGTAGAGGTCAGGCATGCATGCATCTTACCGGATCACAGGAAGTTGATTTTTTCCACCAAAAGGTCATTGACCGAACGTTATCTTGGGTTATGTATAGGTAGATCCTAAAGGGGTTCAAGAACAGATGTTAATGTTGAGAGGGGTAAAAGGGTAATTTTTGTTTGGCAGGTTTGCATTTCCCTCATTCCATGAGCAATAATAATGAAATGAGGAGGTACATTGTTAGTTCTGTCTTTGTTATGAGCCAAAATTTGTTGTTTAGATTGTTGTAAGGAAACTTAATAGACAAAAAAAGATTGTAGTTTGGCACCATAATAAGCTGTCTTTATTAACAAACCATTGTTGTTTTTATTTTTCTTTAAAAGGATCTCTACTTTTTTTTCTTTTTTGAAGTATATAACGACAAATAAACTCACATACCCTCTTCCTTACTTTTGGTGATGTTTGAACCATTGATCTCCAAGGACTCACATACTGCTAGACCAAAGGCCCTTTGGTACTAAAGGATCATTAACTTTTAATTCGACTTGAAAGGTATTTTATTATATTTTGCTAATATTTATCGATAAATGAAATTTATATAAATTATAAATGAAACTAGAAAAGGTTTATATACATCAAAATCAATGTCACGAATTACTTGTAATTCTTATTTTAAATTGGACTCTTGTTATATAAAACGGCATCTTATTCATTCAGGAGTTTTTTACCAAACTTTTATCGGCAAGCATGACAAGAACTAAGAATCTTATTCGATAAGAGACATAACAAGTATTGATAATCTTACCTGGTAAGCGAAGAAGAAGACTCTTACTCAATAAATGCTTGCATGTTGAGAAACACTTGCCAACAATCTATTTTAATGGCTGAGAATGTTAATTAATAAATTAAGTGAATATGATGACTCTTGTTGATTAGTACTTACCCGATAAATGTTTGGTAAACAGCCATCAACCTGAAACATCCTTGGTTAAAATCTATATGGCGGCAATAGAGAGGTGGTTGAGGGGGAGACAACGATCAGATGGGTGGCAGTGGAGGGTGGGGTTTGTGAACAAGTGTTGATGTTGGTTAAATTGGTCTTAAATGTTTGTTTCATCTTTCTTAAACATCAAATTATGAAGAAAAAAAATTACATTGATTGATTCAAATTCTTGAGTTATGTGAAGTAAATGATCAAATCCTTCAATGGCCAAATCCTATCCACTTAATTCATGAACCAAACAAGGCCAAAAATATTGTTTGATTTTAATGATCTTTTTTCCGCATTCTGCAAACCAAACACCCTAAGAGAATTTGCTATCTTGATTCATAAAGGATTTGGTCTTTAGCGTATAACTCAGTTGGCAAAGAAGTGGAGTAAATTTATCCAAATACAAGACAGATCTTAATTAGGTTCGATCTCAGTTCCCTCTTGTTAGCTTCAACCATTGAATGCGTCAGAAAATACCCCTCAAATTGGCGTCCTTTAAGACATGTGAACCCGATTGAGGTTGATGATAATCAACTTTTTGTCAATTTTCTAACGGGTTTGAAGATAAAATTTCTATAAATAAAAGAACGAAAGTGTCAATACATCAAAGTGCAGGGGCATTAAATGAATCTTACCTCTTACCGTTCACGCAAATCTTTTGGTCCAAGACCACGAACAGAGGTCGAAGTCGAAGCCGGCGACGGAAATAGCAGTGGCCATGGCCGTTTCTTTTTCTTCGCCGTTGTACTCCCATACCTATTATCCTCTGAAGCTACTCGTACCTTCCAACACCGGCGTCCGTAGACGACGTTCCACCGCCGTTCAATTTCAGTCTTTACGGTTTCATGGTAGTTTTGACGTCGAGCAACATAGCCTCAACTCCAGAAAGCACTGGGATGACTTCTACGAGCGCCATCAAAACAAGGTATCGCTTCCATTTTAGTTTAATTCTGGAAAATTCAGCGAATTCGAATGTGGAAGCATTATTTTCCAAAATCCTTATCTGCGATTGGAACTGCAATTCTAGATTTCGAATATCGGTGATTGATTTCATGAAGTAACTGCAGTTTTTCAAGGATCGACATTACCTGGAGAAGGACTGGGGGCAGTACTTTTGTGATGATAACAACATCATCCCTTCCGATGGAAAAATCATGTTAGAGGTCAGATTTATCTCTAATAGCAGCTATACTGTTTGTGTTGACTCATAGTTAGAGAAATTTTCTGGAAAACTCGAATTTCTGTACGAATTTTAAGTTATACTCCATTGTTGGTGCCAGAGCAGATATGTCTGATCATAAATAAAGTTTGATCATCGTCTGCACTCTGCAGGCGGGTTGTGGAGCTGGTAATACGATATTTCCTCTTGCCATGAAATATCCTCGACTTTTTGTTCATGCTTGTGATTTCTCACATCATGCAATCACACTTGTTAAGGTTTGTTGCTTCCTCACCATAACCATTCTTAATTAGGAACCATGGTTCTAAATAACTCGTTCTGGCATCGATATGGCACATTAGGACACCAGGCTTGGCTTCACTGCCACATTAACCTCTGTGGCTCCACTCAGACTTGGCTTCCATTGTAATGCGTTATGGTGCGTCATGTGCGTTACCATTTGTTATTTTATAAGGCATTTGGTTTTTTTTTTTTGTTATTTTAAACATATATAACTTGGAGATAAATGATATTTACGTAAGACACTTAAAGACTTAAATTAGCAGTAAAAATATAAAACTAAAATCCTAAATAGGTGAATCCTTACTCTCATTCCCGTACAGTGAATCGAATATGAATCCTTTGAAGATTGAAAAAAAATAGTGAGCAGATACTCAAGATTTTTAATCCCGATTTTATACTATTAATTTCATTTTCTTATAAACTTGATATTTTATATAAATGGTTCTTTTTTCTTTTTAGATTTATAGCTTTATATGAATTTAAAATTTTCAAAGGGATTATTCAAACACTAAAACACACAAGTATATATGTATGTGTGCACGTATGTATGTATGTATGTATGTATGTATGTATGTATGTATGTATGTATGTATGTATGTATGTATGTATGTATGTATGTATGTATAGTATGCCACCATAGGACACTGTCTTGAAAAACGTCATGACAATGCCGTAACTTGTAAGGTTGAGACTTGAACTCGCCGTCACGCCACACCTCACGTCATTTAGAACCTTGGTAGGAACACAAATAATTGGGATCCGATACTGACCTTGATTCTTGCACGAATGCAGTCACATACAAAGTTTTGTGAAGATCAAATGAATGTTTTTGTTTGCAATATTGCGGAAGACAATCTTTGTGATCATATTATGCCTTCAACTGTCGATATAGTGACCCTGGTAAGCATGGACTGTACAACTTATTGTTTCTGATTCTTGATTCTGATCATGGTTGAACTAAATTTAGAAATTGTTAAGCAGATTTTTACGTTGTCTGCAATCTCTCCTGAGAAGATGCCCATTGTGATACAAAACCTTGGACGTGTATTGAAGGTCGCTCTTCGCTTTCTTTTTAGTTGTAATTTTGGTATGTTCTCTCACATTACTTACGTATGGATGCCATATGAATTTGCAGCCTAATGGTCATGTACTTTTTCGTGATTATGCCATTGGGGATTATGCTCAAGTGAGTTTCTGAGCTTCTTACAGTGTCATATTCTACGGGTTATATGGATAAATAACCTTAAATGAGTCTTGAGTTAGGAGTATGACCTTCTAAAAAAACAAATTAGCTCAATGACCTTCATCTGCCCTCATAAAAGTTTAGAAATACAGTAGAGGGTCATTTTGCAACACGAGCTTCTAGAGAAGGTCGTTGAGCTACATAAAATGGGTCATTTGGTATTTCATTTAGGAGCATGACCTTCTAAATTTTTTAGCTCAATGAACTTAATCTGAACCGCCCCCTGGTTCAAAACAGGCTGCCCCTGGTTCAAAACAGGCTGCCACTTCTTAGAAATAGCTTGCTCCTGTAAAAGCTTAGAACATCTCTAATGGATTTTCCAAAATTTCTCCAAAATGGAGAATCAAAATTCAAAATCTTGAAAAAGAAGCATATTTAACTCCAATAGCTTCTACATTTTGGAGGTTACAACATTCATTATATTATTAAACTATTCCATACATTTAACAAAATCTTACTTCTCTCTCCTAAACATTGAATTTCAAGATTTCTTGTTGATGAAATATAACAGAAAATGTTCATTCTCATAATAATAATTTTTTGGGGAGTTCTTCAAATCTGGAGAATTTCAGACCCTCTCTCCTACTTTCTCCATTTTGGAGAATTTGTTGGAGCAAAAAGTTGCCCAAAATCCCCATTTTCTCTGTTTTGGAGGATCTGTTGGAGATGCTCTTAAAAATATGCTAGAGGATCAATTTTTGGAGAAGGTTATCGACTCAATAGCCCCCAAATTGCTCTTGTTTAATTGATCTTCATTGCCTGCAATTTTGTAGGAGATGCTAATGAACAAGAATCAGGTCATCAGTGAGAACTTCTATTTTCGTGGAGACGGCACTGTAAGGGTTCCGTAGACTTCGATCTTCATCGTGTTCATTTCCATCAATCATACACTCTTTGTTTTATCGAACATCTTTTTGCAGTCGTCATTCTATTTCTCGGAAGATTTGTTGTCGGAGTTGTTTGTAAGAGCTGGATTTACGTTAGTGGATGTTAATACATACATTCGAGAAATCAAGAATCGATCTCGAAATATTACCATGCAACGGTATAGTTCGTTCAATCTTACACATTTGTTGTTTGAAGCCATCTTGTTAGCTAGATTTACGAGAGCATCTCCAACAGATTCTTCAAAATGGAGCTTATGAGGGATTTTTGCTCCAAAATGGAGAAAGTACTAGAGAGGATCAAATTCTCCAAATTTGGAGATTTCTCCAAAAATGATTACTTATGAGAGAGAGATGGTTCTTTATTCATTCTATCAATGAGATTTTGGAGATGCTATGAGCTTTTGACTGTAGTAATTTCTTCTTCTATTTTTAGGCGTTGGATACGAGCAGTTTTCAGACGACCCTGATGTGTCTGTGCACCGTACAAAACTACTAATCGGTTTGACGTAGAGAGAGAATCCTCCAGCAAGTGGATTTCTGTACGCCAATTTTACTATTTGAGATAGAGAACAGGTTTGCATACATCTCACCCACGGATCCTACCTCTACGTGGAATCTACTGTTTAACCTTAAATGTGATTTTAATTAAATTCATGATAATTCGTTGATTAAAATCTGCGCCACATGGTTGTACCACATTGGCCAACGGACACTTGTTAGATTTTAAAAATATGTAACTACCACCGTGTAACCAATAAGAGAATGGCACGTCAGGGTCAATTTTTTACTTGAATAGTGCACACGTCAACAATGAAATTCATATTGTTTATGGTTAATGTGGAATTATTACTTTGTTGACTAACAGGAATAAACAATTAACAATGTTAATATCCATATTCCATTCTCATTGCTTTATATTTAAGCCCGTGATGAAAATGAGTGTCAAACTTTAGAAAATATCATACAATAAAACCAAGTCTTTTTGGAATATATTTGTTCAAATCGATTCGATGTATCAAAGTCCTTGTGTGCTCTATAAAAGTACAAATATTCAAATTTAGAGAAAAAAAAATTAGAAATAAATATAAATATATATATATATATATATATATATATATATATATTATGTACTTTTTTATTTTGAGAAAATTTAAAAGAAAAGAAAACGATAAGAGTATTTTTAAAAGTCAAAAGAGTGTAAATTATGAGTTAAAAAAGGTTGGTGGCTTACAAATCTTTGAATATTTGGAATGGATCTTGTAGGTGAGACTTCACCCTCTCAAACAGTGACACTTGGCTGGCTTCATACATAAAACCAAAATTATTCAAAATAACCATTTATTTCTTATAAATTGGTCTACTAATCATTCTTATTCTTCTTACCGATTTACGTGACTATCACTACTTTCGGAAGTGGCACTCTCCCCACTTGATCATAGTTTCATGTATGCTCAAAGTGGCGAGATAAGGATTGTGAGAGTAGAAGTCTTTGGATCATTACAATTTCATAGAAAATATTACAACATTTATATACATATGCTACATTTAGTCCTAAGAAAACAAAATGCCAATGAAAATCGCACCTGATATCTCGTCAAATCGTCACGTCATAAGTTGTCTTCACTATAAGACGAAATAGAGGTCAAAATCGCCCCCATAGAGCGTTTGGACAAAATGAGGGCGATTTCATATATATCAGATGATTTTTCTTTCCCAAATAGTATATACATGTACCTTATAGTCAAAATCGTTTTCTATGAGCGATTTTGATGGTCATTTTGTGAAAAATCTCTGGAAAATGATTATTTTGTTAAGGTGTCGTGTATAAAATGGTCATTTTGGATAATTTCTCTTCCATTAATTAATCTGTGATTTCTACTTTACTAATCTCTTGCTAATCAGATAAAAGATAATAATAATAATAATACAACTCCTTATTTTTTAATGATTTTATTAATGAAAAAAAGAAATTATTCATACTTCTTTCTATACATAGAAAAAATTGGATGAATACTTTGTACACGTGTCATCAAACCATTCCCAACAATCTCTCTCGTCGAGAAACAACAAACAAGAAATCTTGAAAGTGGCGAACAGAGGACGATCAACCATTTTTGGCGTTTTCTTTTTTAGAATTTTCTCATTCGTAACCATTTTTTTTCAACTAACTTGTTTTTATTCATAAATTTACCAAAATTAGCTCTTAAATATCGCAATTTTGTTAAAAATTGTTGGAATTTGTATGATTATAGTTTCTATACAGATTTGGTATCAGCAAACGGATTAACGAAAAGAAGAACACCCACGTTATCTTCAATGGTTGCCTCACATCCATGGAACCAACATTCACGTGTTCCAGTTAACTTTTAGGGTTTCATGAATCCCCTTTTCACTTTTCTGCTTAGATTGATCGATAAGGGTCCTTAGATTTCTTTTCAATAATCTTGTTTTCTGTATCTATAGATTCTAATATGCCATGTGGGTTATCCATTAGATCCCTTGAATCATATTCAATTGCAATCTGAGATAGAAAAACATAGAAATTTAGGGTTTAGGGTATCAATCAAGATTGTTGATAGTGCCAAATTTAGAATGATATTGAAGTTTTAGGGTTTAGGGTATCAATCAAGATTCATGATGGTTGTTGATGGTTTGAAATTGGAAAGGATATTGAAGTTTAGAGTTTAGGGTATCAATCAAGATTTCCAAATGGAAGAAATGTCTCCATCTGCTTCGATCACGTTTCGTTTAACAAATCCCGTCTCCAAAACCTCTCCAAATCATGGCGATTTCACTCGAATCAAGCTGCTTACTGAAACCGCAAGCTTGCTATCCGATCCTGCATCAATGGGAAGCTTCAATGGAAGCAATGATGATGTTATGAATCAAGAAAATGAATCTGATGATATAATGTCATCTGGGGATGATAAGGTGACTAGTTTAGGGAAAGAAACGATAGAAATTGGCGATGAGCGTATTTTAAGCGCATCGAGAATGGCGATTGCGGAAAAATGTGACGGGAAAGGAATGAAGAGTGTGTTTGAATTGGAATACATTCCTCTTTGGGGTTCTAAGTCGCTTTGTGGTAAACGGCCGGAGATGGAAGATGCGGTTGCGGTTGTTCCTCGATTTAAGGAAGTTCCGATTAAGATGTTTGTCGAGGATCATGTAGTCAATGGGTTGAGTTCGGGTTTGAGCGATTTGACCGCTCATTTCTTTGGGGTATACGACGGACATGGAGGCTCTCAGGTATTTATATCTTTACCCCTTCAAGGTGTGTTGGGTAAGCATGACATGACATGACATGATCGATTGGGACAAAACTATATTGTATTTCTTTTGTCCACCTATTTGACACGAATGAATAAAACAAAAATGTATTGTATTCTTTTTGTCCCACCAAAATGGGTGGGACAAAATCAAGTAGATGAGATAGGTTTGGTAAATTAATAAACTATCGCTGTCAAATTACAACTCTATCTTAAATCTTCCACAATCCTTGCACCATCTACCTCGCTATTGCCTATCTAGTCCCGGTGGTGCGTTTGGTATGCACATGGGACTGTACGGATGGGAGTGAGGTTGGTAGATAAAGGAATTGTAGAAGATTTTAGATAAAGTTCTAATTTGACATAGATAGTTTAGTAATTTAACAAACTTATCGAATCTCCTTGATTTTTGTTCCACCTATTTGGTGGGACAGAAAAAAAAAAATCAACTGAAATAGTCAATCCCATCAACCAAATTAATTTTTCAGCTATTTTTCAGAGTCTCTTCTCAAAATAATTGGTGTTTAAGCAGATGTTTTATGAATTTGCATGAAAAACGGGAAAAAAAAATCCTTATGCATGTGAAAGGGATTCCTTACGCAAATAATTTAATTTTTAAGCAAAAAGCTGAATCTTTATGAAAAAAAATCTTTTTTCTATTTTTTTAATCTAAAAATCGAGTTTATGTAAAGATGGCTAAAATAAGAATTCAATTGAAAAAATGGCTAAAAAGTGAAGTTGGTTGGTGAGATTGATTATTTTGGTCAGTTTCCAAAAAAAAGTGCATTTTTTTCACTCAGAACATAGGATAACAAGATTTTGTTTTGTAATGTACTAGCTGGCTTACCAAACGCATCCGTTACTTCATATAAGAATCGTCACAGCTGAAAAAGTCGTAATCTTGATGCAGGTTGCCAATTACTGTCGGGATCGTGTTCATCTTGCTCTCAAGGAAGAACTACAAGTTGCTGCACGAGAAACGTTCAACGATTCTTTGCAGGTTCGGTGGGAAAACGTTTTCACAGATTGCTTTCAAAAGGTCGACGATGAAGTTGGAGGGAAAATTAGCCGAAGAACACCCGAAATCATTTCCGAACCAGTAGCTCCAGAAACCGTTGGTTCAACCGCCGTCGTTGCAGTAATATGTTCATCGCATATCATAGTTGCGAACTGCGGTGATTCAAGAGCGGTTCTTTATCGTGGCAAAGAAGTGATGATTTTGTCGAATGATCATAAAGTGAGGCAAAGATTTTTGTCATGTTATCAGATGCGAAAACCATACCTCGAGTTCACAAAACTAACTTTGTTTTTCGGGTTTTTTGTGAAATCAGCCAAATCGGGAAGATGAATATGCGAGAATCGAGGCGGCCGGAGGCAAGGTTATACAATGGAACGGGCATCGTGTATTTGGTGTTCTTGCAATGTCAAGATCTATAGGTGAGTCTGTTTTAGAGATCGACCATGGTTCCCTATGGGTGCGTTTGGTAAGTAGGACGGTACAAAAACTTGTGGTCCCATTCTTGATGCAACTTTAGTAAGACAAAAATGCATATTTTTAGGAAGATACAAGATTGGTAAATTACTAAACTGCTCATGACAAATTAAAACTTTAAAACCTTACACAATTACACCTGCTTACCTCCTCCGGGCCTGTTTGTTAGTAGCTTAACGAGTCTAAAAGGAGTCGGAGCTTATTCCGTCAGCTATGCATAACTCATTGGTAGTGGCTCAATGATACAAAAAATGGCTCATTTAGTGAGTTCCAAGGGAGAGTTTTATGTCGAAAACCAAGTTTTTTTCAAACCTGCCCCTTCCAATTAAAAAACAGGCTCCTTCCATCTGTGAAAAAGCTCTCCCAAACAGAAACCTTCCGAATCTATAAAAGAGAAATTAATCCATACAAACAGCTTTATCCATAAATGACTTCATAGAAAACCAACCAAACCACCCCTCACCCTCGCTTGTTGAGTCTTGTCCACGTCAGTCCTGTACAAATGGGTTCTTGAGGAAAGAATTCTTTGTACACGGTTTTTCTTTACGACTCAACCTAAATCTTGACCTTGTTCAGGGTTGAGCCCGAGGATGTTTAAATGTGAGATATGGAACCGGCCGGACCTGGATATTTTTGGGGTCCAATTATGCTATAATACTCGTCTACTCGATCTATAGTTTTGGTACAGGTCTAACGAGGCCTCCAAAAATATTAGAGTGGCCCTGACTTTGTTCATGGGATTAACCACTTTTTTAGCATTTTTGTGTGTTTTCAGGCGACGGGTATCTGAAACCGTGGATCATACCCGAACCGGAAGTTACATTTACAGCACGAGCTAGAGAAGACGAGTGTCTTGTTTTAGCTAGCGATGGGTTGTGGGATGTAATGTCTAGTGAGGAAGTGTGTGAAATCGCTAGAAAACGGATTCTTATCTAGCATAGAAAGAATGGCGTCAAGAAGGCGGATGGGGGCGGTGACACTGGAGCGGATCCTGCAGCGCAAGCGGCTGCGGATTATCTTGCAATGGCTGCTCTCCAGAAAGGAAGCAAAGACAACGTATCTGTGATTGTTGTAGATTTGAAAACTCGAAGGAAGTTCAAAACTAAATCTTAATTCATTCTTTCAAGCAGTTCTATAAATGTCGTGATAAATATTCATGATAAATAATACATATTATTCATTTTGAATACTTACAAAAAAGGTGGTTTTTCCGTTACTAAAATATTTAAAGATGATCATGTCGATATATATATTCTCTAGGGATAGTATTTGAAACCATCAGTAATTCCTAAACCATAAATGTAACAACGCATCCCACATAGATATAAAATAAGATTCATGAAAGTGGTACACCAAGAAAGTAAATATGTCTTCAAGATCTAAACCCGACAACGAAATTGTAAGAAAGTTTCGAGCTTTCGAACGTATAAACAGAACCCATCAAGATTCGACAAATCGATCATAAACACCGTGAACGTGATTCTCTTGTCGTGCATTACCGACAAGAACCTAAGGAGCTAACGACATAAAATAAAGAGCCAAGGATGACTTCCCTTATGAACCAGCAAGCAACCAGATCCAGATCGGGCTTGCTGGTACATCGAGTCGTTCCACTTCATCAGCGGAACATGTGGTGAGTGGATCCACCGGTGTATGTGGGCCCACCACCCACATGAGAATGATAGATAGAGAACCTGTGGTCTTGCTGGTGGACGAAGTTATCGCCATTAGAGGCGCTTGTGATATCCGAGCACGTACCACCGCCGCCGCCGCCACCGCCGCCTTCTTGTCCATTGATTGAGCCATCAGGTTGGCTTTCTTGGATCTTTTTCACATTTAAAAACCGACCACCAGGCCCTCTAGCCCTTTTGAGTGCATGAACGTGCCGGGATTCATGAAGATACGGCTGTCCAAGTTTTCGCAAGAAGGGTTGTAAGGAAATTGGACGACTTCCCAACAAAGGTAATCTTTTTCCAACTCAGAGATCAAACTAAAACTTTAAAAGAAGTTTTGATGCATACCTTTCGTGGTTTTGCAAGCTTGTTTTGTGCCTCGAGTTTGGCACGATATTGTCTCCTCCGAAGAATCGCGTTGTACTGTTTTGCATTGACGTAAATTGGTTCATCTTGTGCAAAGCCTAGAGGCAACGGCACTCGAGTAGAGATCACCCTCATTGCTTGAGGATGAGGAAGCTGAAAGAATTAGAAACAATAAGAATCTCATAGTATGTGGAACTAGAAAGATCTAGAAACAATAAGAATCTTGTAAATATGTGGAATTAGAAAGAACTAGAAAGATCTAGAAACAGTGTGAATCTTGTAAATACATGGAACAAGAAAGAACTAGAATGATCTAGAAACGATAAGAATCTTGTAAATATGTGGAACTAGAAAGAACTAGAAACGATAAAGATCTTGTAAATATGGGAAACTAGAAAGAACTAGAGGCTTCTTAGAAGAAAGAATTAGTTTTGGGATGAGATGTACGCAGACCTGTCATCAGAATAAAGCAGTTGTTTTCATTAGAATCCCGGACTTGTGTAAGAGCGTGAGCAAAAAGATAATACATTTGAACTTAGTAATTACTAGGATTGAATTCTTCATTATCATTCGGGTATGTTGCACGAGCACCTTTTTTCCTTAAATTAAGTAAACGGGATCTACTTTCACATTTACGCTAATGCCATATAGGCAAGACCAATAAATATTATGGGAACGGTGAGAACCAGCATATATAAATATGTACTTATATATATATAGTAAGGCGATAATCGAACGAGAACCACAAAAGAGTTGCAAACCTATAAGAACCGATATAAAAATATGTTCCTTACATGCTATTTTTTCATCAAAAGGTATGATTTAAGGTATTATTTCATATATGTTTGTGTTTACATAGCGAAAAAATTACATGCGAAACTTTTTTTTGGTTTCACATAGTGAAGAAAATTACACGTAAAATAGTTTCACATGATGAAACAAATACATATAAAAAATATCACGTCCTGAAACAAAACTATGTGTAAAACAATACTTTAAATCCTAGCCTTTGATGAAAAAAATAATGTAAAAGAATATATTTTTTTATCGGTTCTCACGAGTTTATAAACTTTTTGTGATTCTCATTTGATTTGACCCCGTAAGTGTATGTGTGTGTGTATATGTATGTATGTATTTATTGATGCATATACACTATAAAAAAATATGTATTTTGTCAATGAGTATATTCATCCATGCATCTCTACTATGTATGCAATTCATAGTGTGTGTGTATGCATCAATGCATGTACTTGTTCTCACGGTTCTCAAAATATTTACGGTTTTCGTTTGATCTTTTCCCAAGTGATGTGCTCACCATGGTTTGTGAGCCATAAGGCGCAAGCAACCCACGATAGTATGGATCAGGGCATAGAACGGGAATACAAGCCTGAAAACGAAAACGGGAAAACATCATCACCCACAAAAATTTGAGGTCGATTAATAAGCTCAAAGGATCGTTAGATTCGACGTACATATGGCTGTCGGCGATCACCTTGTGAAGCAAAAGCGTAATCCTGAGGTCCAATTGGCAAAGCGGACCCGACACTACCTTCTTCATGACTCACATGCGTTCCGTTATACCCTGGTTAAGAGGGATGAAAAAATACCAAAGAAATTTTATGGGTTTATGAAACTATGGCGAGACATTATTCGAGGCTCCGTTGGTTAAATCCATGACCTTTTAACAGACTTGTGAATGCCACTTCTTAACGGAAGAATTTCACTTCCGTACACAATGTTGTGAATAAAATTATCATTTAAGGTAAATGACCAAAATATCCCCGTTAATATCTCAACATTCCAATAGTTTAAGGTGTCCGTAACCACACAAATTAAACCAAACCAAACGAACACAGTATATCTTATTCGAAACTGAGTAGGGATGGAAGTGGGGCAAGTATTTGGCGGGTGATGCATCCCCGACCCTGACCCAAACTAATTCCAGACGGGTTTGGGGAACCCGTTGGGTACCCATTTAGTAAAAAATAATAATAATAAAAATTATATGTTAAAATAAAAATTACAATGAATCTCACTAAATTAATTACCAATATTGAAAATCAAATATATTTCTTATATAATACTCCTTTTGTCCGAAAACAAATGTTCACATTTCTATTTATGTTTGTCCTGTAATAAGTGTCCAATTTCAAAAAATAGATAACTAAATTCTCAAATCTGCCCTTCTTTAATGTACAAATATTTAAGAGTTGGGAAGAGAGAGAAATTAATTAAGGGTAAAATTGTCATTTGGTCAACTAATTCTCAAATTCACTATTAATTAATGCACAAATATTTTAGAGACGTGAATAGGGAGAAAGTAAATAAGGGTAAATGTGTCATTTGATCAACTAAAAAGTGTAACAATTATGCATGTCTATAACCGTGTGTTATTTATATTGTGGAAACTTGTTTTGGGAAGTAGGGAATAATAAAGACATATATATATATACACGTTAGTCTAAACAATAAAAGTTTAATCGTGGTCGGATTAGGGGCAGGTAATGTCAACCCGACCCCGACCCCGACCCCGCTTGGGGTATGGAAAAAACCCCATTCCCCCCCGGGTACCAAAGCGGGGAATCCCCGCCCCGTTAGGGTTGGGTATCCGTGGGTAATCGGAAAATATAGAAGGTAGAATAAGGATTCAAGGGTGTGCAAGCATATATATGAAATCAGGTAAGACATGTAATACAAGTGGAAATAAATGTAGAAGACATCATATCGAAATCGTGATTGATTCAATCAACCACATTAACAAAAGAAAAGATTCATACCCGATTGAATCGAGAACTTGTTTTCCCCATAATCGCCCGCACTCGCTACTTCAGGGTAAGATTGGCACGTCGATTGAGTCGAGGATGAATCTTGATCTTGAAACTGAAACTGAAGACCCAACTGCTTCGTGTTTTGATGACGTGGGGTCGATGAACCCATCTTCAAACTTAAGTTATTAGAGAGAGTCGATTGTTCCACAAACGACTCGGCACCCGTCCACTGAGACGGGTACCCAACCATCGATGGTGCACCAGATCGAAGATCACGCGGATCAGAATTATTCTTAACCAATTCTTGCATGCTTTGTTGGACTAGAAACGACTTCTAGAACGAGTGGCTCGATATCAAATCACAATTAAATCGTCGAGCACCTGCTTACGAGCATCTTAACTCGTAAATACCAACTCCAATTACAAAAAATTCTAATTATTCTACAAAAAAAATATCCAAAAGAAAGGCTGAAATAGTAGTAAAATCTGATGAACTTGAATAAACAAAATAATGTCAAGAATAAGATGCTTTATCTTGTACCAACATTCCACTAAGAATGTTTTGAGAGCAATAAAGAAACATACAATCAATTTTTCTTTTAACCGTAGGTATCCAGGTCAGCTTGCATGCACATACTGGCTAGGGATTTGTCAGCGTTGGGATTTGAACCCGAAAGATGGGATTTTTGCTACATCCCATGAGACTTAATCAGAAGGCGACAACGTAAGTGGTTACATACAATCAATCGTTTTTTTTTTTTTTTTGGGTAACAGTGGATATCCCGAGGACCATAAATGGCCTCGAATTATGGTCACAAGGGCTTTATCAGCGTTGGGATTCAAAATAGGAAAGATGGGATTTCCACTACATACCCTTGAACCGTAGCCAAATGGTTGGATGAAATCAATCTTTTTAGGTGTCTCCTAATCTTGAAATGAACTAAAAAGCAGATTTAAGTGCAACTTTTAATTATACATAAAGTTAAGTGATAATAAAAGGCATATCTAAAGAAATCTTGAACTAAAATGTAATGATGATTCATAACTTACCAACTACAACTATTATATAAAACTGAATGAATACCCAACAAGAATCACTCACAAGATCAACAATAAAAAAAAACATAATATTCACAAGTGATTAGCATAGCAACTAAGATATCATATTTGATGTGGGTCAGCATTGGGTCCCACTAAAAGGATGAATAAGGAACTAAACAGCTCAAAGAGTGTCTTCAAAGTCAAGATCAATAAACATATGTTCAAAATGTTTAAGCAAAAAAACCAAGAACAAGAACAATAAACAGCAAGATCAAATACATAGCATTCATAGGCCTCATTTTCCAGTAAGTTTAAGCCAGAATCAAGAATGAAGCATGCAGACATCCAAAAATCAAGAAATCAGCACTTGTTACAGATCTTATCAAGTCAAAGATTCAGACCCACAAAAGAAAGGGGATTTGAAAGATTAGAGAAGCAGAAATAAGAGAGATGAAATTATACCGATTGTTGGGAAGAATTTGGGCATGCCTCCTTTCGTCAAACTTAGCTCTCTCTCTCTCTCTCTGTCTATAGATATAGATATAGATACAGATACAGATATATGGGTGGTGTATGCATATATTGTCTGGATGGAGAAGCAGAAAACGACAAAGGGGATTACATCTCCTTCGAATTTCAGGGCATAAATGCCATTCAGCACCAGGAGCTCGGGCTTGTTGTTAAAAGCATAAAAAAGAATTGGAGTGGAGTTTTGTCGTGTTGTGAAGAAGAAGAAGAAGAGTAAAATTTATTTAATTTTATATGAATCATGCGACTTTATTTTAATTTTTAATTTTAATTTATTTATCTGTCGCTCTGTATCAGCCGCCCCTATAGGCTCCGGGTATGTCGCCACGCGTTTCAATTAGAGCGTGCTTTTTACTTTCCTTCTTCTCAACTTTTTTACTTCTTACCCTTGTTACAAAATCTCCACTGTCATCTTTTTTGGGAAATTAAATTCATTTCTTAACCAATTTTTATTAAAATATTTGATAATATTATAATTGTTATATATAGAATATTAAATAAAATAAAAGTTATAATATAAATATCCACATTTTATTATAAAGTTGAATTTTGTTATTTTAAAATTTTATTTTCAATATATATTTTATAGTTTTCCTAAAATAAATATGTTTTAACAGTCGATATTTCTCTAATAATTAATTCTTGTTGATCCATAGTTCGGGAATCAAGGAATTGGAAGGCAAACATGCTATGACAATTGAATCAATTTAGAAAAAACCTAAAGTGAAGCGTAAGAAAAAATCTCCACTCAATTAAAGAACATGATACAGAATTTATTGGAGCAAATAGAAAAGGATCGTTTACCAAATCACTTAACAAGTGACTTGCCTTATCAAATGCATATATCAAGGACCAAAACCTTACTCAGTAAGTGAGAGTTTTACTAAGTAATTGAGAGTTGTGACTACTACCCAGTAAACATTTATTGGATGATAGACGTTTAACAACAATCCATTTGATGGACGAAAATGTTAAAAAATAAAGTAAATAAGAATGATGACTCTTATCTTATTAGTAAATTCTACTTTCAGTGGCACTTAAACCCTTTTTTTTATAGAAAATTTATCATATTCATATGAGATATGTGTTTCAAAGGATTTAAATAATCGGAAATAATGTCAAATGAAGACATTTGTTGTCAAATCTTAAACCCTAAGCTATAAATTAAGTTAATCTTTTTAGTTTAATTATTTTTGCAGGGTAATCTCGTATTACAATGAGATGTATTTCGATTTTAATATTTCATTTTATTCATTTTCTCTGTCAATATAATACGGTTTTTATATGGTTTTTACTTTTTAGAAAACAATAATATTTTTATTTTTGTTTAGCAATATAATTTTTATAAGTATGATAATTAACTATTATGTTAAAACTCAATAATTATTCTAATTATATTTTAACTTTTTATCTTATGTTTATCTACAGGTTAGTTATATGAATTCAAAAATAGAGTTTTAATAAGTTGTACTTACATACAAATTATTTATAATATTAAATTTTAAGTAATATGTATTAATAAATAATAATACTTTGTATATAAAAAAATGGTTTTTAAAAGTTTTTGTCAAATAATTTATAATATAGTATAAATTATTTTTATAGTTTTTTAATGATGAGTTTATTTAAATATATAATTGTAGATAAGAAGGAAGAAATTGATTTTAAAATATCGGTAAAGGCGACCCATATGGAATGGTTATCCGTTTATATATTTTTTAGTGATAACGATAACTTAATTAATCAATTAAGTGGAATTAATTTAGATGTAAGCAAAGTATGCAATTATCAAAACGTGTGTGCTTTTTTTTTATTCCAGTTTTATCTTTTTTTTTCTTAATATTGTTTATATATACGATGATGTCGGTGTCTTTTTTTTTTATATTGTACATGAAAATTATATATAAAGAAAGAAACGGGTTCAAATGAGAGAATTCAAGAATAGTTAAGTTGCATGTGATTTTAGATTAAGTATGACAAATTGGGTAATTGAATACACGAGGCCTGCTTATGGGCAGTGGTCATGATGCTGTGAAGTTGGTTTCTGGTTCCAGTTACAACCCGTTATGGGTTGGAAAATGTAGGATCGTTCATGATTATTATAACATATTATGTAACGATTTAAAGAGACCTAATCGTTTGGGGGAGGGGCGGTTGTTGCGAGGAAGACGACGTATATATAACGTATGTTATGTCTGTATAGTATAATGGACTTGGGATCGTATAAAATTAAGAGTTATAATTAGAACAAAACCTTTATATGCTTTTAATTACTATTTACCTATCTCCATAATCATGACTGGAATTTTAGTGTAAAAATAAGAGTTATAATTGTTTTTTTTTCTTAAATCAAGGTCAGGCCCTTGACGAGATTTGAGACCGGCCCGGCGAGACAACGTGGCTGTTTGTTAGCAGCTTAATGAGACTCACAACTTATTTGGTTGGTTATACATGACTGTTTGATAATGGCTTAATGACATGAAAAGTGGTTTATTCAGTAAGCTTATAGGATGAGGGAACTTTACGTAGAAAGTCATGTTTTTTTTTCCATAATTGTTCGTCTCAATCAAAAAATATACTCATTCTATCTAAAAAACCTTTTTGATCTATACAGATAGATTAATCCACACAGACGACTTTGTTCATACATAATTTAATGAAAAACCAATCAAACAACCCCCAAGACCGGTTACTGACCTAGAATCAATCCTATAATTTTTTGGATGGGACCAGAACCAATTTTTTGACCATCTTTAATATAAAGTAAACCTTCACATTTTAGTGGACCAATAATAGAGGCCCAATCGTGAGCCGATTTGGGTTTGAAATATCTTAACTAGTTAGGCCAACCAGTTAAGATCATAACCGATTACGATTCAGACCCAATTTGGATTATTGGGACCGGATTTTATATGTCTAGATACATATACTATATGTAATAATACTAAATTTTGATGAATTTAAAATTTAAAATAATAAATAAATACAATATTCTTACAATTTTATGTTGATTTTATCAGACCATTTGAAAATATCTGTATAAACTCTATCACCACCCAGTTGTTCACCGGAACCACCAGCTGCCACCCTAATGACATCTTCAATCAACTGGAAGTTGCCCATTATATCTACATGGGCACCACTCTGGGTGCCCCTGCCCTCGAGAAAATTCGAGGGCGGATTATGATCATATTCCCGAATGTACGTTTTTATTCCCGAGGGATTAAATCGCGTTTTCCCTCGCCACCCTTTCGCGCACATGAATCCCGCGCTCAATGCGGGTACGGTTTCATCACCGTCTACAGTGTACACGCCATCTTTTAAACACACGTGTTCGTCGGTATCCCCGGCCGTGTTGTCGATCTGGAACGGGATGTAGCATTCGGCCGTTGGAGCGAGTTTGTAAACGTATGCTCGTTCAGTTGGGATGCCGACGCCATACAACGAGTATATCTCCATGTCGGGAGCATTCGGTAATCTAAAAACAAACGATTATATGGTTAGTCGCTTTTACCGAACAAAAACAAGTTTTACAATTTCTTTCAAGTAATATAATGTTTATATAAAACAAAACTTACACACACTGCTCACTTTTGCCCTGTATTCTCAAACTTGAGAAGAACATAAAGGAAAGAAATGAAAGATGTTATTTTACAAATATATCCCTTTATATATGTTTTTCTTACTTTTCCTTATTTTTGTCATATGAGGGTATTTTTGTCCCACTCATTTCAGTATTTTTTTCCGTTTGTTTTGGAGGAAACATAAATGATATTTTCCTCCTAAAAAGTTTAGAGAATACATGGTTTTTCGTTTCTTTCGGAAAAACGTTTTGAAAACACAGTGAGACTTGAAACCTTTGACCTTCAAGGAAGTTGGACTCTATCAGTAACCTGAATACGGACATTGTTGGGCCAATAACCCTCTGCTAAGAACAAAAACGATTCTTACTTTGTCTCCAACGCATTGGACCAATATTTGTAATGAGCGTATTTTGGGTCGTCGAGATTCTCGGCCAAACCATGTGAAAAATGAACATTTCCGCGTTCCATCATCTTTGGAGCAACAAACTCGAGCATATCCAAAAGGTCTCCAGCTGTATACGCCTTATACTCGGAAATTGCCTTGATACCACTGAACCCCATTTCATGGTACTCGGTCCACACATCACGACACGTACTATTTGCAAGATTCTTACCTTTGACGGCACCCTAACGTCAAGAAAACAATAAAAATGGTGATGATCAATTGCAACTTAACCAAAAAAAATAAACCAAACGATCCCAGAATATCCCACTCGAGAGCAGAGTCGGAAGTGGGATGTACACAACACAGACATGTCCTCTGTTGTAAAGGATAGAATAATTGTTTATGTGAGCCGTTGCAACGTAACACTTTGTGAAAATCAAAAACCTTACCCTAAAGTCTATCCGTTCGAGCTTTGATGAATGTAACTCCGCCACATCTCTCCCGAACGATATGATTCTCCCGTAATTAGGATTTCGTGCTTGACATACTTTGCTATCCGACTCGTTTTGGCTGCAAAACGAATTATGGACGTTTTCGTGCGTTCTATTACTTGGAATATATCCTTCCTCAGGTGACCAATCGAGGCCACCCCAAATGGTTTCTCCACCTTTCGGTATCATGGACATGGTCGAGTCCCACGTTCGGCTCATTCTCATGATGTGTTGCAGTGTTTGAATGTGAAATACGTCCGAGTCCAATACACCCGGTGCAATCCCCCTATGATTTATGTAAAGATGGTTCAGGATCACGTAAATTAATGCATCAAAATGTAACAAAGTTTGATTTAGTTTATTGATGTAACAAAGTTTTAAAATTTCCTCTTTTTGTACTCATTTCGACCGGTAACCTACTCATCATGTAACAACTGATGATATTTATACCTATTTACAAAAGGGTATCGGCGAAGTGTACGATTAGCATCAAAGTCATCAAATGTTACAAAATCAGAGGGTTATCGGTCAATATTAATACAAAATAGGAAAATTTTGATTTTTTTTTTACTCTAAATAGGAATTAAAACAGACTTCGTTGCATTTTGATGCATTCCGTAAAGACGAAGTTAACGAAAGACAATAACCTCTACATAACAAAATTGAAGTATATATAAACCTGGCAAACGCAACATCTTTGGCTTCAGCGGAAAACAATCCCGATAGCGCTTTGGGGGCGCCTAAAAGCGGTCCACCGATGTTCATAACGGCCTTTATGTGTTTAGCGCACCAATCTGATCCACCTCCGCCCCCCATCGGAGCGGGTGCTTCGACCCACTTCATGAAATGCAAAAAATAGAGAACGCCCATCGAATGCGGAATGATAACCGCCTTTTGACCATCGTTTATTTCGACCATCAATTCGATATTTCTCTTTATACGACTTAATGTTCGATCTCTTACCTGCAAAAGATAAAAAGATCATCTTTTTTCCAAGTATCCATAAACATGTAAACAAGCAACAAAAACAATTCGAGTCTCTTCAACGCCACTGACTATTAGGATTTTCATGACTTATTTTCCGCGTCACTGTGGATTTTTTGACCGTTACCTTTAGAAAACCACTGGGAATTTTCCTGACTATTATTTTCTAGGTCGCTGAGATTTTCCTGGTTGTTATCTTCACGGTCACTACTGATTGTTATCTTCAGGACAACTGGGATTAGTCAAGCGGGTAAAGCGATACCTCTGTGTTCTGAAATGAGAGTCGCCAGTCGTATGCCGCCATGTACATGTTTTTTTCTTCATAGCCAACACGAGCCAAGTTAGCAATCAGAACGGCCCACACAAAGTAGCCTGGAGCGAAGTAGTCCGCGGCTACAAGCCCACTAACCGGCCGGACCCTTATACCAGCAGGGTCCAAACCGGTTTCGTTGTCCAAAGACATGTGTTGCAGCCAGCATGACGGTCTGCAAAATTTCCAAAATCACTGACACAACGAGTGGAGCCAGAAAATTTAAAAGAAATGTTTGTTGTATTAAATACTTATTTGTACACAAAAGCTGTTTAAAAGAGTTGGAAAGCAGCAGAGAGCTAAACAACATTGTTTATATTTACACGAACAAACAGAAGATACGAAGAGGAGTGCGGGCACACCCATGACCAGCGGTTGAGGGGCAACTCAACTGCCAAATAAAAGTCACGTATTGGGTCTCCCCATAAGTCAATAGTTTGAATCCCGGCCCTCATGGTCATCAGCTATTTTCCTAAATGTTATCTTCATGTCCCACCAGGACAAGTCAAGATGAGCAGAAACCGGCCCCAGACCCCAAAATATTGAATATTGCCCCCAAGAAGTGTACTTCGAAATCAGGGGAAAATTGACGGAAGTAGACAATCTCCACAACCAAATTCAATTTTTAGCTATTTTTTTAATCAAATTTCCATTTTAACCTGAGTTTACGACATATATGCACAAAGACCTATTTTCTAGTTACAAAAAAGAAAAAGAAAAATCCCTACGCAAATTTAGGTAATTTGCACAAGGATCCCATATGGGTAAATATATTTATGCAAATGTGTGAAACATTTGCGTAATATTTGGCTAAAATGGGAATTCGATACCAAATGTGGCTAAAAAATGAATTTGGTCGAGTAGTTTAGCCATTTTATAGGATACATTTTGCACTCTTGCTCTCAATTTCTAAGTTGGTAAAGAGACGGAGTGACTGTATTTAAATACGCAATAAATTCAAATTCAAATTCGAATCCGGGGTTGGACCCCGGATTAGAGTTGCCGGTAATCAAAGTCAAATCTACGTAAATAACATCCATGATCCGAAACACAATTATTCGATATGAACAAGAAAGAAACAACGGTACCTTCGATAGATTTCGCCAAATGTGCCGCCCCAAAGCCTCTTTCGGAACAACCCCTCGGCACATTCATGCCCTTCCCATAGCTCAAGTCCGCCGGTAACAATCCCTGGCACAAACACCACGGGATGCTTCGGTTCCAATCCTTCTTTAACACATTTAACACCGGGAGGATCCGGTAACGCTCCGGTGATCTTCTCCGTCAGGTATTGCGGGAAAGACGCAGGCATCGTGTTATATAGAAACAACAAAAACCACCACGTCGTACAAATACATCCCACCAACCAACAACAATTATCCACACAAGAATAGCTATTTCTCCGTTTCTTTTTTGCCGATTTCTTCTGCGATTTGCCTTTCTTATCGTCGTCTTCTGCCGTGTGCGGTGGTTGTGGGGCATCGTCATCCGGTCGTTTTCTTCGCCGGAGTAATGACATTGTATTGAATTGATTGAGTTGGGGGTGAAAGGGGGGAAGGAGTGGTGGTGCGACGGTGGAATATGGTGGTTGCGGCGGAGACAATGTGGAAAGGGTATGTTTAGTAGGATGGGTTGAAACAGAAGGAATGTTTGGTTGAAACGTGGCTTACCGCCAACGTTTGGTCAATGTCGGCCCCTTGAATGTTTTTATCTACGACCGATAATCGTGGTGTCTTATGTTGTTAAATAATAACCACCGATAAAAACAGATTAAATAAATAAAGGATAAATTTTCGATTTCAGTTTTTGGAGTTTGTTAATAATTTTATTTTCTTTTTTTTTAAATTTATTATTATTTTTGTTTTTAAACTAATATTTATGTTTAATTATAATTGTACAAGAAACAAAACGGTAAATAGTTGGAAACTATACGGATCAAAACAACAATAAATTGTAAATCATAATGATAAATATAACAATGAATTACAAACTATGTAAATGAAAACGTGATTCCTAAATCAAGGGGTAAAATCGCAATTTTTAACAAAAATGGGGATGAAAATGTAATTTTATTCTAAATAGATAAAGAGTAAATTATGCTTTTAGTCCATGTAATTTGTTCTAAATGGAACTTTCATTTTTGTGGTTTTAAAATTATGATTTTCATTCCTGTAATTTATAATTTATTGTTATTTTTGTTTCTAAGATTAAGGAGTCATTTACCCAAAGGCTTACCAACAAACGCTTACCAGTAAGAGTAACACTATATTTCACTTTACTGGGTATAATTATAGTCCAGCAAGATGTTATCGTATGTAACAATTTACTTGGTAAGAGTCGTCACTTTCACTTACCAGGTAAGACTCTCCATTTTAATCATCATTCTTACCAGGTAAGATTCTTGGCATTTGTCATGTTCTTTTAGTAAGGTAAATGATATGGTAAAAATCTACCGTGTAAGTTTTTAGTAACGGACTCTAACTCTTAGTTTTAAGTATGAGGACAAAACAACAAATAATTACAAACCATATGAATGAAAACAGTAATAAATTGTGGTTAATAAAGACCAAAACAATAATAAATTGTAAACTATATGGATTAAATCCCAATTTAAAAAATACAAGGACAAAAACAAAAAAAATCAACAAACCATAGGGACAAAAAAAGGTGATTTAGGGGTCGTTTACCAAACACTTACCCGGTAAATGCTAATCGATAAAATTTAACGCTATCATATATTTGTTGGGTAAGATTTTAATCTATCAAAACGGTACTGTATGCATCAATTTACCCAGTAGGCGCTTAACGAGGTACGAGTAGTTGCCTTCACTTACCAGGTAAGACTTTTGGTCCTTGTCTTTCTCATATCGGGTAAGTCTTTACCATATTCATCTGATAAGGTAATGTGACTTGGTAAGTGTTTACCCGAATAAACGTTTTCCTTACCGGTGTATAAATAACTCATACAAAGAACATCAAAATGTAGAAAGGCTTTTACGCTAACGTAAAGATTTTAAAGGCTTGATATTTATTTATTTATTTATTTTTACTTTAACATCTAGGGTAAAATTGTCTTGTAAAACAGAGTGAAAAAATGTAATTAAATCTCTAAAACTATTTTAAATGTAAAATTAATATTTTATACTCTTAAATTAATCATGTAATATTTTAATACTAAAACAAATAACTCATATTAGGATAGGAATACAACAGGATGAGGATGTCACATTGGGTATGAAATATGAATAGCCCATAAATAAAAAAGCATTGGGCTCCCAATTTTTTATAAAGAGCGAAGGGCCCAATATATATGATTACATGTACATGCCATTTTAATCAAATACATTAATATGACATAATTGTCACTCTCACCATAATATAACAGAAAAGACGTCACGCAGTCATTACACCGGCACGAATATGTCATGCCATCAGTGTCACAATGACGTTCTTATCCTCAAGGGTTGTTAGTTGTTCAACGTACCCAATGTTAATGTATCATACCGAATGTGAGAATAATGTCTAAAATACAAATAAAGTTGAGCCGAAAGATCCCGATTCAAGATAAATTCATGAGGAAGTAGATAATGAATTCAAAAAAATCTATTGATAAATGAATCCCAATTTGTTAACCATTACTTATCAAATCTTGCTCTGTAATCTAGTTTGCTTTTGTAGCCCAAATAATATTGTATCATGATGTATATGGAAATAGTAATAATTAGTGAAACAGAAAGACTTGTATAGACTCCAACTCCAACGGTCCAAAGATGGAAGTCTTTGGGATATTCTGAACCATTTATGAACATCACAGCAAAAATGATTAAAACATTTATGGCTCCTACGTAAAGAAGGAGTTGTGCAATAGGTACAAAATGGGAGTTTGATAGAATATAGAATAAAGATATACAAACAAAAAACCAATCCCAACAAAAGGCAGAATAAATGAGATTGATACTTATCAGATAAACGGCCATGTAATGTACAGTAAATGAAGGGCGACATAAAATTATATATTAGACATGTAGCTAACGTGAATAACTCAAATCAAATGAATGTATGTCATAGAAAACGTTAGTTTGTATAACTATGTTACAAATCAAATAAACGTGTTATGTAGGAAACCGATATTCATACTTGAGTTGTATATCTAAAAGGTGGCTACGGTCTAGAAGGCCAACTAAGCGCCTTTAAACAAAATTCAATACCCTAAAATAAAATAAAGGTCCATGGCCATAAGCGATCACGAGCGACCCCCACCCCCCATGAGGTAAACAACAATGGAGCAAGTAACCGTAGTTTAGTTCATAGCGACAAACAACCCATGCAACACAATGACAATAAATTATGCACATACCATTAACCTTTATGACCATAACATTATCCCCAACATCATCTAAGACAGTTCAAGCAACATTATGTGATTCATCGTGTTGGCTCATGAACCAGGCGTACCACATATCAACATGACTCTCAAGTCAACCATCACATTCACCCATGACAAAAGAATGTTAGTATCCAAACTTTTGGTGAATCGTGTTGTGGCGGGATTTAGGTTTTAAGTTTATAAATTTACTAAAATAAACCCGAATGGCAATAAAAAATGCCAAAGCAAGGGTACAATGGTCGTTAATCATCGATTAGTAACCAAAATGGGTCACACCGACTTTTGATGTTTAAGACCTAAATGCACATGAGAATAACCATAGAGACAAAACTAATTTTTTTGTGAAAGTCGGTTGCTATTTCATGACATGAAACTTTTTAATAACTATGTCTTTAAGCCAGACAAATTAGTATTTGCAATTGGAGTTAAAGTAGTCAATTGTCGATTATAAATGTCTCTTATTATACAGGTTGGCCTGGTAATGGGAAAATCTGGGCATGGTTCCAACATGAAGTTATGTTCGTGATAATCAGTTATTGATCGACTTTTTTTTATTATTATGATAACAAATACCATATATCTTGCTAAGAACGACAAGATGATTATTTATTAAATTCAGTATAATATATATATATATATATATATATATATATATATAAAAGATATGTGTATCTTGTTTTACACTTTTTTTATATATTATTATTTCCATCATAAAATATTATTTAATCAGTTTTATAATATCTGAGAAGTTATGTACAAAAAAAATACAAAATGGAAAACAAATTTGAATTGGATTGGCGGCATGAGGCTTTGGGGTGTATGAAGTAAAGATAAAAAGCACAAAATACTTTGGAAACAAAAGAGGGAAGAAAGCTACAGGGAGAGAAAGAAAGACTTGGGATATTAAGATTTGTGAGACATTTTTTTACATTTGAAATTTCACAGCAAAATATTGTAAAGGTAACATTCATAGTGTTTTTGCTTTGAATGTTTGCTTTTTTTCCTATATTTACAGCGTTTTGCTGTGAAGTTTCAAGTGTAAAAAAAAAAGTCTCATGGACCTCGTAAAAATAGGTTGGTCGCATGTGATCCCAACCATATATATATATATTTCACATTGTTTTTGTTGTGAAGGTTCAACGTTTTTACTTTCACAACATTTTGTTCTGAAGTTTTAATTGTAAAAATCATGTCTCATGAAAACAACTTTGTCTCACATGCACAACCCCGCACACACACAAATGTGTGTATGTATATATATATATATATATATATATATATTAATTTATCTCAAAGAAAAAGTTATATGATTTTCATTTTATTTTATTTTAATAAGAAATAAATACATAAATTTTTGGTACTAAAAAGAATTAAAAAAAATGAACGAATTTCTTCTTGTAATAAATAAAGACAAGCATGGCATTTAATTCTAAAAAGAAACCCCAGGCATCAAATATTTTTCTTTTATCAAAGTTCCAAAAGCAACATTAATTCTTTTTTGTATTTTTTAAAATATAAATTTAAAATAAAAAATCTTTTTTTTTTTTTGCTATAACCATTCAATTAAGCAACCCATAAAAGCAAAAACCTTTTTTAATCAAAAAAATATTTACATTAAATTTTTTATAAAATTTTGTTAACATGAATCATTTCAAGTTTTTTTTTTTCATTAAAAAATCTCTTATCTTATGAACGGTGTTTTATATATGGCTTTTTAAATAATTACTGTGACATTTAAGGTTCATATGAAAATAATTAGCTGTAACAAAATGATTAAAATTAATAATGACGTATGATTTTATCGTTATATGTGGAAGAAGTTATCTACGTTATAACATCTTATTTGTTTTGTGATCTCTTGAAAAATCAACAAATAATCATCAAATTTGCGAATAATATGTACAAGGACTGTACTTTGGCATACTTTAAGACCACAAGATCTAGTGTAATGGCATTGAAGGACGAACTTTAGGAATGAACATTTTTCGGTTTTGTTGATAGGAGCAAAAAAAGTGCTCATTAGGATATGAACCGTTTTATTTAAAAATGACAGGTACAGAGATAATCTTTATAGTCTCTCGTGTACTTTTTAGGACACATTTGTTAATAGATGAATAAGCTTGATAAGACTTACAACTTACTTGATCAACTATATATGACATGGGTGTCCTCTCGAAAACAACATCCTTACCTTTTGATATATCTGTATAAATCTAGCCTCTGGAAAACCCTGTTTACAAAATGACAGATACAATGATTGTCAAATACATTCTTATAGATTTTCATCGTTTTCACTTTTCACCGACACTACAAATATTTTGTTTGTATCCAAACATTATAATCTGTTATCCGACACTCGAATTATGTTAGAACGTACGTGTGCCGTATTCATTTGTTTTAATATCCCCCCCCCCAAACAAGGAAAATGCCTCCCAGGTCCTTTAACTTTCCTTTCTTTAATGTCTTTAACTTTTATTAAAGAAACATTTGCCCTCGATTATTTATTGAAAAGATTAAAAACTACGTTGTAAAAAACGTATCGTTTTTCTTCTTGAAAATATGTCATTTTTTTAACGTTAAAAATACACAAAATATATTTGTTTTTGTAATGATAAAATTACATAGTTTGTGATTTGTTAATTAGGCTTTTGTCCCTGACATCAACCACTATTAATAAATATCCATGACAAATATGGACGTTTTAGTTTTTTTAGTCTTGTATTTATATTTTTGTTAAAAACTGTTATACAATGTCATATGATATATTATTTTATATATTATATTATTTTATTACTTGTATACATACATACACACGTCCCAAATAACGATCAACGATGACTTTCCTCAATTGCCTTAGCCCTAACCTGATTATTCGGCCACCCTTCCCCTTTTAAGATTATATATATACACACACACACACATACAACAAAAGATAAGCAACTGTCACTCTCGCTAAACACCGCCTCCCTTCCTCCACAACACAAAACCATCTTATTTGACAACAAGAAACCCAAGGGTTGGATCAATTTCGGTTTTGATTATGGTAAGAGGTTATCTATCTGGGGTTGGGGTTGTTTATTACATATATAATATAATATTGAAATTTATTGGCTCTAGCGTGTAGCTCAGTTGGCAAAAGGGTAAGACGACTTTGCCCAAGTACATGACAAGTCCTCTATTCAATCTCAAGCCCACCCCACTAGCCTAAGCCGTTGAGTGAGTCAAAAGATGCTCCTCACATGGTGTCCTTGGAAGCGGGTTCGGTATGAGGCCAAGTGGGATTGCCGGTAGTCAACTTTTTACCCAAATAGTGAAATTTATTTAAAAACAAATAAGAAAAAGAAAAAAAGAGCCTGGCTTAACATACTTTTTTTTAACAAAGTTAGTCAAAAGTGTAAAAAACAAAACGAATTACTAACTACAATGACAGGAAAACATAATTTCAAAACCACAAGGACTAAAATCGTAATTTACTCTAAAAAATGATATTGTGATCACATAAGGAGACCATACATATGATATAGGTTCAATGATACGATCCCCACCCCACCCCACAACCATGTTTATGCTAAAACACATGATGAGGCGTGGGTTGGGTGCACCAAGGCAAACCAGTCCGCATACAAGAAACAAACAGGGACCTTGATGGGTTATGGGTCCATCATCTTCAACCGTACTCACATCACATGTGCACTAATCAATGCCTTTTTTTATATAATTTAATCTTTATTTAATTGTATCAGTTTAATTGATACGTTAAATAAGAAAGTAAATATTTTATTTAATGAATTGTTAGTAGATTATAACAAACGTACATGTCAAGTGGTAACCAAGTGGGGGTGCGACAGGAGAGAGGGTCGGAAAGTGGCTTCATCTGCCACTATCTTCGATTTTTACATGCCATTTGTTTTAAAATGTGCAAATTGCATGAAAAAACTAAAATAACGTACTTTAACTTGATTTTTTTATTTTGGGTAACTTACTTTCAAAACTTCAATTTTGGTACATAAGATGTAAAGTTTTAAACATTTAAGTACCCAGATAACCGGTTGAAAACTAATTTTAGATTAAAAAAAGACTAATTTTACGTAAAAAAAAATCATTGTCACTAACCACGTCAGCAAATAATACTGAGTTGAATACCATATCACTCACCACATCAGCATGATAACGGGTTAATGCTTCAACTGGTAACCCGAGTACTTAAATGTTTAAAACTTTACCTATTAGGTACCAAGATGAATTTTTAAAAGTACGTTACCAAAATAGAAATCAAGTTAAAGTACCTTATTTTTTCATGCAATTTGCACTTTCAAAAAAATGACTACAATGAAAAAGGCATGCGGTTTTAGAGAAGTGTATTTGTTACGCTTTTATTAACTAAATGACAATTTTACACATAATAATAATTTGTCGGTAGATTATAAACATGTCTATCAAGTGGTAACAAAGTGGGGGGAGCGGGACAGGAGGGAGGGCCGACAAGTGCCATCACCCAACACCAGCTCCAATTTTTATTTTCCCCTCATTTTTAACGTAAGTGTCCACAATGAAAAAGATACGTAATTTAAAAAAAAATGTAATTATTACATTTTTAATAAATTAAATGACAATTTTAAGCATAATGCCAAACATGTAAAAACTATAAGCCTTAATGGGTTACATAAATTTATTTACATCATGCATAATAAATTAAATTATATATATTTTTTAAAATATAAAACGTTGCAAATTTAATAAATAAAAGATATGTAAGAAAGAGAGAAAATACTATTAATAGACATAAATGATATTTAATGAAAAATTTATGACCTAAATTATTCATTTATTTATTATATTTTAAAATTTAATATATTAAAATAAATATATATTTGTTTCACAATGTGTTTGTTTGATATATATTCAGTTCACATTCACAATGTCAAATGTTTTAGGTGTCGTTTTTGTTTAACAAACACATAAAAATGTTCATATTGTGATACAAATAAATATATGTCTATCAATACACTAAATTCAAACATATACGGATAAAAAATCATGTGAAATAACACATAATGCACCAGTTCTCAATGTTATCATAATTTTATAGACTCTCAAATGCAAACTTTCTATATATTTGCAGTTGTCGTGAATGAGTCGAGAGAGATAAGAGTACAGTAAATTGAATACGTTTACAAGAGATGGAGAACGACCAACAATGATAAAGGTGGAGAGTAGGGGCAGACCCATTAAGAAGACCCCGATGCACGTGCACCAACTTTACTGTCTTGAAGTAATAACAACATTTTAAAGGTCTTAACAATGTACTCGTTTTTAATTAATATATGGTCCCTTAACTTAAAGTTATTGGAGTCCATAAGTAGTGTAATTACATGTCATATATTATACATTACAACTTCTATCAATGATACCCCATATTTTAGTTGTGAATTATATATATGTTTTAAAAAAATATGTATCAATTTTTTATTAAAGTTATAGTTTATAGCATTGAATATGATTCATTTTTATATAAATGTTTATATTATTATTTTAACATGTTATGAAATAAATATCCAGTTAAAAAAGTAAATGTTTACTCTTAATTATGATATAAAGAAAATTTCTTAAGGACTGTTTAGTCGTTGCTGAATGATTAAGTGGTCAAAATGATTAAACGACTTTCATGATATAGTGCAAACTGCAAAATGAAATATAATTATTCGGTAATTGTTTACAATGAAATCAGGGTGTTGAATGGTTAAGGGGGACCAATGATACAAAATCATTCAGATGGTTTTAGAACCATTAAGAAGCAGATTTTTTTACCAAACAAGATTCTCCTCTTAACGAATCAAATGTTGTCTTTTAATGAAACTATTAACAGGTAAACAAACAACCCCTTACTCTATAATTAAGGATAAAACTGTAATTAAAAAGTATAATAATTACACATTCTTGAAAACGTTTGCCTGTTCAATTATGGATGGAGGGATTATATTTTTTAAATTAACATGTAATTTAAATATTATACAGATAAATATTTATTTATTATATTTTGAAATTCTAAATCGTTGTCGGTCGTATTATTTTTCTAAATCTACTATAGATTTCATTAATCATCTCAATTGATATAATTTATCCTCAAAATCGGTTGAATATATTTTTCTTGCATATAATTGTACCCTACCAACCTGAGCCTAAAACAATTGGAAATTCGAAATTCGAGGCTTGGTTTCTATATCTGAAATCCAATCAGAAATTTGGTTTGTCTACCAAACCCATTGGACCCGTCCAATGTACCATCTTCAAAATGAAGAAGATGTTAGGGTTCTGTTTGTTAGCAGTTTAATAAAACTTACATTTTATTCGGTCAACTATGTATAACTGTTTGGTAGTGGTTAGTGATACAAAAAATCATTCAATAAACTTCGAGAGATCAATTTTATACAAAAACCAATTTTTTTTTCTCTAAATATGTCTCTCCCAATAAAATAACATGTGATATTATAATATAGAAGGACATTCAAATACAACCGATATAACCCACCCATTCGTTTTTATATTTTTCTTTTTTGATTTTGTTAATTAAGAATAATTACAACCGATAAAATAGATGTTTATAATTTAATTATATAGATCGTACGAATATGAGAGTGTTTGGGATTGCTTATTTAAAACAACGTATGTTTTTTTTTTTTTTTTGTAGAAGTGTTCCTCAATTTATGTGGAGGCAAACTGAAGTTTTGTAAAAAGTGTTTGGATTAGCTTATGGTGGTACCACATCGGATAAACTGATAAAATAGACGAGACACCTTTTTCTTTTCCTATCAATACGATAAGAACTCTTTATTATTGGTACCACATCGAAATAAGTTTATAAATTAAAAGGAAGTAACTTATTAAAAACTTTTTATTACCGATGATAAACCGATATAAGTTTTTATTTTTTTCCAATCATCTAAACACTAAAAACTTATTATTATTAATATTAAAACGAAATAATTTAATATAAATAAACAATCCCAAACACAGTAAAAAAGAGTAGCATGATAACCGAACTCGTGTAATATAATACAGTGGGGGATGGTATTTGTAGTACCGATGCAAAAGAGGTGGCTACTCACTAGACTTCACTTTTCACCTTTTTCATCGATCAATCCACGGCCACCGGTACTACTCGCCGGCGGCGTCGCCTCGGACCCATCACTTTATAAACACACGTTTCTTCTCTTCCTTTCCATCATCTCTCTCTCCCACAATCCCTGTCACACAATCTTCCCCCAAATTTTTGCCGTCTGTGTGTTGGTATTCACGCATGAGTAGGCGGAGGACGTGCGTTTCGCCATCAGTGTTTGCTTTACTTTTCAACAACAAGTTCTGAGTCTGAAACTGTTCATACCCATACGATATATGCCCAAGATTCCTGCCATTAATGGTTCTGTAAAGCGTCTATATCTTTCCTCTTTACGTACAAGTCGTGTGGTATTCATATTCACCGGAGACAGTTGTAATTCTGTTTGCTTCGTGTTGTTAGTTTGTTACTCAATTGAGTTTAAGCAATTCAAAGCGAAATTGAAGTTATTCCTACAGTAATCCTACCGAAAAACTCTCGAATCGTGAAGATATAATTGATAAATTGAATATGTTGACGTGTATAGCTTGTTCGAAGCAGATTAATGGCGGATCTCTGAACGAACAGGAAGATGGAGACACCGCTGCTACGCCTAGAACCAAACAAGCCATTAAAAACCTCACATCGCAGGTACGATTGTTCCGTTTCTTCCATTTCTGACAAATGCTGCTGGTTGGTCGTTTGATTCAACTATTTTTGATACTCGATGTCTAATTCATCGTTTGTAGATCAAGGATATTGCGTTGAAGGCATCAGGAGCATACAAAAACTGCAAACCTTGCTCTGGATCGTCTAACAACAATCCGACTAACCGGCGGTGTTATACGGACTCTGAAGGTGGATCAGTATCTGGCAGGTTTTTTTGCGGGTACCAGAGAACCGGCAATTCGACACCTAAGGTTTGGGGTAAGGAAATGGAGGCGAGACTCAAGGGGATTTCGAGCGGTGCGAGTACTCCGGCGTCGGTGAGCGGCCGAACTGAGTCGGTTGTGTTTATGGAGGAAGACGAGCTTAAGGAATGGGTTGCTCAGGTGGAACCAGGTGTTCTCATAACATTTGTGTCACTGCCTCATGGTGGCAATGATCTAAAGCGTATTCGTTTCAGGTTTGTATTCTTATCGTATAATTGTTTATTATTAAAAAAATGCACTCAGCCACCTCCCCATTTCTTCCTCCACCGGCCACCGTCGTTCCTTGGAACGTTTTCCGTTGCAATCCCCATGGGACATAGAGACAGTGACATCTTTCACTCATGTGTTGTGGGTCCAAAATGCTCGAAATCTGACCACTGACCACAGATTTTTGGGAATCACATTAAATTTTATATGTCAACTAATGTATTAAATTGTGTTACTAGAAGAAAATACACCCGCTCATTTGTCAAGTTTTTTGCAGTATCCATAGAATTTGATTGAATGGGGGCCTGTAACTGAGATTGTTTGACCTTTTCAGTTTTCTTTGGTTTTTACTTGGTGTTAAAGGGATGATGCACACAATATGTTGTTCTTTTGGGTGCGTTTTAAATGGCAATTGCGCTGATGAGCTGATAGTGAAGTAAGTTTTAGGGGTTTAATTTGAGAAGAGTAGTTTAGTAATTTAATAATTTTGTCTCATATTTCTATTTACAAGAAAAATGCATTGGAGGTCCCCCAAAATAGCTAATATGGACTCCCCAATTCATTTTTTAGTATTTAGTTTAGTAATTTAACAATTTTGTCTATCTTTTTATTTACATTAAAAAATGCATTGGAAAGTTGTCCAAAATAGCCATTCTGGGCTTTCATGTCATTTTACGGTTGCTTTTTCACTCGATTTATCGAAATGACTAAAATTTTGCAAGTAGCGGTTTAACATTTTATGAAATCTATTTTTATGAATTTAATATTCATAAAGCAACATTTTGTGCTACTTGCAAAATGCTAACATGGCAAGTAGAACTTTATGTGTGAGTAGTATTACCATGTTAGTATTCTGTAAATAGCATTTTAACAATTTCAAATTGCTATTTTATGAATATTATATTCATAAAAAGTGCATTTCGGTAATTTATTAAATTGCTTGTTGCAAAATCTCGGCTATTCCTTAGGTCAAATATGTAGACCAGCGGCTATAAAGTGAAATGGGGTAGGGGTCAGAAATGGCATTTTGGACAATTTTCCAAATGTATTTTTATCCCCCTCAAGTTACCAATCGCACCGGGCATCACATGATGACCCCTTCCATTTGTCCCTAAAGGTTGGGTTATATGGAAAAGGTGTTAGTAATGTCTCCATTTGAAGCAATCACTGTAGGAAACCAGTATGTGTGTGATGCTGGGTAGGGGCCAAATCATCTTTTGTGGTTGCTAGTACTGGTGCCCACCATGCATTAGGGGGTCATTGATAGAGATTATGCCTGAAACTACTGAAGTTGTTCCCTGGTGGCTGTTGATATTTGTCATTATACATGAAATCACAAGACAATTGCAGAAAAATCTAAGAATGGTCAGCTTAATAAACGGTGATATATACTTTTCTTGTCTTGTGGGTCCCATATACAATTTTTCAGCCCGTAATTCATTTGGGAATTAGATAATTATGACATATATTAACTAATGGATCATTGGATTGTAGTAGAAAAGGAGCAACACATCCTATCCTCTGATTCTTCAACATCCATAGATTTGGATCTCCATTTAGGGCTGTTTGGTTGGTAGTCCATTAAAACTTGTATTGATAAAGTTGTCTACAGTGAATTAATTTGTCTGCATAGATTGAGAAAACTTTTGTTGACGAGGGGTTTTTATAAATGGAAGGAGCGTATTTTTTAATTGAGAGGGTCATGTTTGGAAAAACTCAGAAGCTTACTGAATAAACTATTTTCTATATCATTAATCCACTTCTAAACAATCATGTCTAACTAACCGCGTATGTTGTGAGCTCCATTAAGCTAATTTAGTTGCTAACAAACAAACCCTTAAGTACATTGGTTTGCGGGATTTGGAGGATTTGGAGTTGAATTCCATTCCAATCTCACTTTTGGTTTAAAGGAATGGAATTCAATTCTATAAATTATCTATCAAGAATGGAATTCAATTCTATTCGAAATCCTACAAACCAAACACACCAAAGATTTCAAATCTTTCCCCGAGATCCAAATCCCTCGAAACATTTTGTCAAACCAAATGGCCCTTAGTTTCAACTAGATTTCATCTTGGTAATGTATCCATTGAATTAGATTTTTGCTGAAGAGACCATTGGGATCCCAATAATTGAAGCTTGACCCACCATTTTAAGTTTCTCGTCATTCATTACACGTTTGTGTTAGGGGATGTTTAGTACTACCTGCTGACTTCTTATGGGTAAGAGGTGCTTACCCGGTAAGAAGGAGAAGGGATGTTGTATATGCCAATATACTTTGACCCACAAATAGGCTGGCAGAGATACCGACCTAGTAAGGAAGGAGTTGTTTTTTTGATTCGGTCAACGCTTACCCGGACACTTGGTAAACAACATTTTCAATCAAAGCTTACTCAAAAGTCAAAACCTCTTATCCAGACCTCATATTAACTCGGTTAGCATTACCTAATTTGTGTTGGTAAAGAGCCGCTTAGTGTTCAGATGATAAGAAACAATGCTCTTTGCCCTGTAGACATTGAATATTGTTAGATTCCACATCGATTGGGGAGGGGAAAAAAGGTTGTTTTATAAGAAACTGAATACCTCCTCTACCAGACGTGTTTTAAAAACGCGAGCCCAGTAGTGGACAAGATGAACAATATCTGGTACGGTTAGCCTGGGATGTTATAGGAAAATGATATGAAATATGAATCTTGGTGGTTTAGATGATAATTGTGAGTAGGCCATAAACCGATACCCTTTCTTGTTTTTGTACGGTCAGGCACATCCCTTATTGATATCGATAGGGATATGCGTATATCGTCTATATCTGAATGTTTACTGGCATTTGAAGACAGCGGTCTGAATTTTTCATTAAGAACACGAACATTTATTATCTGCCAATTTTGTAATGGTATTTTGTTATTTGACCAATGAATTTTTTCAAAAAACATACAAAACATTCATTATCTTGGATTCAGTAGTATTTTGGTGTGTATTATCAGTCGCGAAATGTTCAATAAATGGCGAGCTCAGCGATGGTGGTCGGAGAACTGCGAGAAGATTATGGAGTTGTACAATGTTCAACGGTTTAATCAGCAAGGAGTACCATTACCATCTCCACCAAGATCCGAAGATGAGGTTCGTTTGTATAAGCCTTCTCCAACAGTTTCTTCATTTTATTTTGAAGATTACAATATTATTTATATCATTAAAATATTCAATAGATTTAATATCCCAGTAGGTTTTTAAATAAATTTTTATATGAAATGATAACACATTCAACTTCAGTGTTGGGTTCATGTAAAAATACCATTTTTTTGTGAGAAAAGCACCTTCATGTAAGATAATGTCTCCTGCATTGTAATATATGTGAAGATATCTTTATATTGTGTGAAGACTTGTGGAGGTGATTGTCTTCACAGAAACCGGTGAAGGTAAACATTGAGGTCCTGTGACCATCATCACCTCCATAAAATATGACATAACTTTTACACAGTATAAGGGTACCTTCATCAAAAGCCTTTTTTTCTCATGTGATCCCAAGTTTTCACCTTCATAGGTGGACGTTGGAACAATCAAATAAACATGTTCTCTCTCTTTAAGTTCTTCAAATTCGGTGACTTTTTATCTTTCTCTTCTACTTTTTTCGTTTTGATGAATCTGTTGGAGATAAAAATGGGTTAAAAACTCAAATCTTTGTTTCCTCTATAGTAAATTACGATTTTTGTCCCTGTTGTTTGGAAATTGCGATTTTCTTCATTCAACTAATTCCTGTCTTTAAAGTACTAGGGACCAAAACAACAATAAATTATAAATCATAAGAACGAAAGTAACAATCAGTTACAAACCATAGGGATGAAAACCGCAATTTGAAAATCATTATTTCAACCAAACCACAGGGACAAAAAACGGAATTTACTCTTTTATTTATTTTGAAGAATCTGTTGAAATGCTATATGATCTGTCCCATGTTTGATTGATGTGGTATTAATCATCGTACTTTCTTGTTTAGAGCTCAAGAACGGAGTCCGTCGAGAATAGCCCAGTAACGCCACCACTTAGCAAGGAGCGGCCACCGCGGAACTTCTACCATCCCGCTGGAATTGGAATAGGATACTCGTCATCTGATTCACTTGACCAACACCCCATCCGACCCACCCATGAATCTAGTAATCCGCCTAAACTCTCGAGCATAAGTGGAGCCAAGACAGAGACATCATCAGTGGATGCTTCTGCAAGAACAAGTTCATCTCGAGAGGTTGATCAATCTGGAGAGCTTTGTTTGAGCAATGCAAGTGATCTGGAAACCGAATGGGTGGAGCAGGACGAGCCCGGCGTCTACATTACAATCAGAACACTGCCAGGTGGCATTCGGGAGCTTAGGCGTGTCCGATTCAGGTACGAACCAAATACCATGCGTTTAGTAGTGGAGGAAAGAAACTTCATGTAGGAACCGTATATCTAACTATTAATAATGAATATTTAAGTATGTTTTTCATGAATAATATTTAGGGTTGGTTGTCACCGGATACTATTCATGAATTATATTTAGGGTTGGGATGGTTTTTAATTGGGAGGGTGTTTTATAGATGCAAGGGGTGTGTTTTATAAATGGGACGGACATGTTTGGAAAAAACTTGGCTTTATGCATAAAAGATCCTCCTTGAAGCTTAGCTTGCTGTGAGTCCCATTAAACCTATAAAGCTGCTAACAAACAAGCCATTGGGTATATTCATCATGAATAGTTTGGTTGTCACTGAATACTATTCATCACCAAATATTATTAATGAGTAATATTAAGATATATTCATTATGAATAAATGTTGTTAAAATATTTTCAGTTCTGTGTGATTCATTAGTGTTTATGATGACAAAATTTGGTGATAAATGATGAATCAGCCGAGAACGGTTTGGTGAGATGCACGCGAGGATGTGGTGGGAACAAAACAGAGCCCGAATACAACAACAGTACCTGTGAGTTTGAAGAGATGTGATTATATAGCTATCCATCTTTTTGCTACGTGAAGCCTAGAAGGCCATCTTGCAGCTGGTAATCTAAGCTTCAAATATATTTTATTCTATCTTTTTTTTTTTCCTTCTCTAAAAGGGTAATTAAGTAGCTCGGGGCCAAGACCGAACGAGTGTTGTTCGTGCTATCGGGCTATCACTTGTTGTAAAACATTGTATTAAGTTATATTTCACATGGAATGTCGTATTTATTTGAGATCGATGAATTTATGTGATGAATCTACCCATTAAACGATTTTTTGGTAAACGACCAACAGCTTCAAATCCTAGGCTGCAACTTGACACGATGTCACTAAAATTTCATAAGATGTCATTCCATCAAATGAATATTATTTTATTACAAAGTTCTTTATTGGTGAAAATACGAAGGAACAATAACAATGTCAATTTGAATGAATCCTCAATTAATGCGATTAGTGAATTGACCACATGAACCTAATTTACAGATAATTGTAAATTAAAAATTAGACATAACTCGTTATCGTTTAGATGTGTCTCTTATACGAAAATTCTTTTTACGGACCTTACTCGTTAATTTATGTCAACCACAAGAATCAAGTTCACAGTCAACTCTGAAAGAAAAATAAAGACAAAATTCATTATATTGTAATATATTAGAAATCTACTCGCCCAAAGCGCTATACTTCTTCATTTTAATGTTTTGTTTTATTAATTGTTTTTGTCGATTTTATAACATAGTTTCTTATGTTTTTAAGAAAACGATAATGTTTTTATGTTTGAATAAAATATAAATTTGAAAACCCCATAAAAATTTTAAAAAAATATATCTATATTAGTTTCGAATTAACAATTTAAAAGTTCTCGTCTTTTATATAATTTGTCTAATTCAGTTTTATCTTATAATTTAATTTGGTTTAGGTTTAATAATTTAATAGTCTTTTACAAAGATAATAATTATATATTATATAAGAACTCAATAATTATCTTATGAACCGTTTATCAAACGCTTACCCAAATAAGCATTACCAAGTCAGATTACCAGTACAAAAATCTTATCCGATAAGATATAAAAGAAAAAAAAAAAAAAGACTCCGGAATCGTATGATAAAGAGAAACGTCCCCTTTCTGTTGCTTTCGTGTAGATGAATTTAAAATTTCTAAAAACAAAACCCCAATTATTGAAATTTTAGAAAGAGCCAAAATTACCCTCCTTCCTCCATATTCACCGACCCCTTCTTCCTAATCCAGACAATACATTCTCTTGCTGTCTGCTTCGCGAATCAAAGGCGGGATACAAAATCTATCAGCTGGATTGAATCTATTACAGAAAATTCTTGATGATCATTCCGTTGCTCATATTTACGTAAGAGACGAGCATGGATCATAACGAAACTGCTCAGAAATTGATGAATCGGAGGTCTACTTTGAAAACTCCTTTCTCTTTCTCCTTTGATTTTTTACGTTTACAAGTTTAATCTCATTTATAATCTATCAGCTGATGTTGGTAAAATGATTCAATCTATTACAGAAAATCGTCTATGATCATTCCGATTCTGATATTTACGTAAGAGACAAGCATGGATCATAACGAAACTGCTCAGAAATTGTTGAATCAAGGTCTATTTTGAAAATCCCTTTCTGTTTCTCGTCTGATTTCCTTGTGTTAACGAGTTTAATGTATCTTAAATTCAAACCAGAAACATTTCATACAACAGCCATTCATAGAGGGAGAATTAGGTTTATTTGAAAGTTTCTGGTTATTTCATGCTATTGTGACTCTGGCTTCATGATAGAAAATCCTACAACTTACAAACCAGTTTTCAAATAGTGTTTTATATGACACAATGTTGTTTCATATCAAAAACGTTCGTCGATTGTTTTATGTGTGGAAAAACGTAGTCCTGAACGTTTCACATACACATTGTAAGAACACAACATTGTATTTTAACACATAAACCTGAAAGTTGGTTTGTAATTTTGTAAAATAAGGGGATTCGTTATAAATATTTATCATTCCAACAATGAACCTTTTGGTTTTAATTCGCCGGTGCACAAACTCTGGTTCTATTTCTTCTGCATTTGGTTAAATCACTATAATATAGCTCCATGTCGTTTATTTTTACTCACTCCGTCCTAATATAACTGTCCACGTTTCTATTTTATTTTGTCCTAAAATAAGCGTCCACCTTCAAAAGTAAGTATCCTACACAAGACGGACCTAGAAGTTTTTTTTTATTTTAAATAGTAGCACCATTTGACTATAATAAAGAAGCTATGGATATCTAGAACGTTCACCTCTCAATCTGTTAGCACTAGTTCATTTTGTTTTGACTAGTAATGTGTGACTGGCAGATCCTTTTTCTCATTCGGCAAACGTGGGGATCTATGCCGGCTTACAATCTCCGACTAATCCTTTGTGTGATCACGAATGGCCTAGAGTCATCACAATTCACAAGTGAACCTCTATGGCCACAAGGCTTTGGTAGCGTTTGGATTCAAACCTAGAGAAGATGAAATTTCCACTACATCCCTTGAGCCTTAACCTGTGCCTCGTGGATTCTTGCTACTCTGTAAAATGGAGTATAAAGTTTCTTCCCAATGAAGAGCGTGAAAATGCATGTCGTTTCATAAATAGCTAAAATAGAACTAAAATAAATTAATCCAGTGAATCCCACATAATGGTAGGGTCGAGGTGTATATGATTTTTTTTGGGTTTGGGAGGTGGAGGGACCAACCTATTTTTTTTGTTAAACAAGTATAGCAAACCTAAGCCGATTTGTGTCCTTGATAACTTATTATTATCCGTAGTAACTCTTGAGTTATGGGGTCTGATTAACTAACAGTTGGACCAATACCAGAGAAAGAAAACTCTCAAGATTTTGGGTCCGATCCATTTGGGAGTTTAACCTAATTTTCTTCTTTAAATTCAATATTATGTAATTGTAAACCCTAGCCGTCATATCAAAAAAGTCCTTGCTAGTGTGGTCGTGGACTAGCTTGATTAAACCGATCAAGTGAACCACGTAAAATCCTATGTTCTTTCTCTTTTTTCTGTTCTTACTTTATCGCTGCCATGTTCGTGTGAGTGATCTTGAGCATCGTTTCCCAAAGTAACTGGGTTTGATCATGGGTCAGTGAGTCTAAAAAGTCTTTTACCTTTTAAAAAAAACATAAACAATGTAAAACTATTCATAATACTCTATTTTCTTTGAACGAAGTTATTAAGTCAAAAGTAAAGTATATCAATAGTCGTGTACAGGTAAATTGGGGATTGAGAGACCCTCCGAAATTTTAATTAATTTCTAGTGGGCCTTCATGTTCGTTAACAACTCTATACGGAGATAGGATGTATACAGATTTTGACTCTTTCAGAAAAGTAGAGGTGTTTCCGTGAGTGGCTTGAAACAACTAACAGATGTGAAGGAAATAGGTCAAAGAAACAAGAAAAACATGTAACATAATACTGGCAACTATTAGTACAAGATATATAGTCGCTAACGCTATTTTTTTTTATACAAACATATTTTCCAACTATACTGACAGCTACTTCTGTTATAATTTTTATGATGCTGACAATTTACGTTACACATCGAGGCATAAGAACCGAGGGACATTTCTAGCATGAAATCGCCATTGTATTACAGCATTCCTAGCTATGCTTCATTCAATTCCGCCACGAATTCCCTCCACAACCTCCGGCCATCTCAAACCACCATCATATGGGCGGTAACGTTGGAGTCGTAGTGGCGGCGACCCCAAGGCTCCGCCACAACTGTATTGGCCCGGCAATTCTTGAAATGTTTTCAACTTCTTTGTATGAAATGAAAAACTTGCAGCTTTCAAGAAAGTTTCTTGCAGACGCTTTGGGTTGCCGAAGGTGTGTTGCCACCCAGAAAGCCGATGACAAGGTCGGTACTTTTTTCTCCATGAATGTTAAAAATGAGACCTTTTTCCCCTGATACGATGGGTACAAGTGGAAGTGCGTGTGGTGGGTGTCTTTTTTCTTGACCAATAATGAACTGCCACCGCATGGGAGGATGGGGGGGGTATCATCTCGACCACATAAAACAACAATTTTTTTTTATTAACCTAAATATCCGACCCGCTATTGAGCAGACTAATTCTAAGACGACCACCTGTTTTGTGAGTAGTCTGGAGTCATCGCATTTGAACCTCTGTAACCACAAGTGACTTTTATTCCTCCTTGAATTTGAACATGGGACCTTCAGACACTTTTGACTTTTGAAGCCTAAACATTTCCTTTATAGTCATCTTACAGTATTCTTTTATAAAGTAGCTTAGAAACCGTATGAAAAAACGCCTCAAAGACACTTTTCATTACGAGAAGATCTAACGCATCTAGAAAAAAGTGGGTCCACTACAAAAAAAACATTAAAATGCCCAAGTTGCGGTATCGTAGTCTTTTACGTCTACTTACAAAAAATAAGCCAAAGACCAGAAGCAAATTTAGAAACTTTTTCAAATGATGATAACATTTCATCATAAAAAACAAAGAAGTGGATATTTTTTTACGGAATCTTCATTGGTGAATTTGTTAGTTATTTGCTTTTCATATATGTGTTCCGTGTTCGAGGCTTTTATTGCGATATTTTTTAGAAACATAATAAATTTGAAAAACTAAGAAAAATAACAAAAAAGAGACTCGAAAACTAACTCGACCAAGAGAAACTTATGTCATTATTATAGTTTCAAAATGTATACAGTTGCATAGGATAAAAGTGACACTCTTCACGACCTTATAATTTTTATATTATGACGGAGGAACGAAGCAGTAGCCCGTGCTACCATATCCAATGGAGTGCGCCCTGCCAAATGTGCAAGCTGCAAAACCGCAAACCCATTTTGCATCTTGTGAAAGTACAGAAACAATGTTTTACAGTGTTGGCTTTTGATTTTTTGGTTGTTTTACCTAAAAAAAATTGGTGAGGTGATTATAAAGTAAATGTGGTTATTTATGATGATAAGTCGATAAGGGTGTGGTCCTACGGTCTATGTAATGGAATCAAAATGAGTTCTTGTTTTCATGATGAAAGATATAGAGTTCATTATCTACGTCCATGATATGAAAGGAATGGAATCTCTCTGTGCATCCACTTTCCATTCTAATCCAACATGGGAATTGGGAATTCCCATTTGAATTGTAAGACATGAATACATGGAGGATTTCAATTTGTCAAAATCAACAGTTTGATAGAATTAGACGGGTATGATAGTAACCAAAAGAATATAAATATAGAACTCATAAATATTTTTTTGATGAAATCTCAAGAGTATTTATACTTTTCATATTAGTTGCATCTGTATGAGCATGTAATCCTGGCTATCCAAAGACCCACATATGTCAGACGATCAACTGCTTTGTGGGTAGTCCGAAGTCACCGCATTTGAACCTCCATGACCATAAAAAGATATTTCTACTCAAATAATGCATTAGACATACATGTAATTTGATCAACATAATCGATCATTCTAATTCTTTCAATTTCTATTGAATTCCTGTGACCTAAATGCCACCTAAAATTGACAGATTGTTATGGAAAAAGGGATTTGTGGAAGAAAGCTCATTTTTCAAACTTCTCCATCTTTAAGTTCTTAAATTTCAAGAAAAATTAGTTGAATATTGGTCATGTTGAAAGCATATATGTTATAGAGAACGACATTTTTGTCTTTTAGCATTTTTTCTCAGACCTTGAACCTAAAAATCAAAAATTTTGATTTGTTCAATTTCTATCATGTGATTAATTCCGATAGTGATTACGTCACAAAATGGGGATTGTGGTTGTGGCTCCATCTAAATTGTCCCTCTTACAAACGGTCGATTAAGTCGTTGAACTCTTTAGTAGCTATGACCTTCGAAGCAATAAGAAATAAGAAGATAATGTTCGTGTGATGCAATTTGCTATAAATGCTTTGAAATAGAAAGCGAAAGAAAATTACTTAATACTGATTTAAATGTAAAGTTGTTTATATTCTTATACTAACAAGTATCTATGTATAAAAATAATTTAACACGTAACCTTTTTTCATCTGACATTATTTACGGTTTTTGATTCTAAACATTGAAAAGTGCACGTGATTTTACATAGAAATTGAATGGTAAATAGAAAGTAGGTTTTTGATAGGTTTATTTGATTATTGTAAATGAAGTTTCTTAAAACATGCACCCATGTAGAAAAATCAGACGTAAGATTTTATAATATAGTTTTTGTGAAATGTTTTATAATATAGAATAGATTTAATAGTTAATTAAATTGATTTAAATTAAGAAATTATAATTATGGGATAAATAAAGCATGTGGTGCATGATGGGAAGTAGTTCGTTTGATGAAAAGAGCGAGCCCCCAACCTCCTCCTCTTTATAAAGGAAACGTAACTTTGAGAGAACCAGAATCCCCTGTTTCCACTTCACTCCATACATACGCTTTCAATTTCATCTTCTTCCTTCTTCAAAACCCTAAATCATTCAATCTCTCTTCTCTTTCGATTCACAATGTGTTTTTACTTCCATTTCTCTTGAAATCACCTTCAATTTCATATCATGGATGCTGTTTCCACAAGGTACAGAGACAATCCGTCGTTTTCTTCCACTTTGCTCGACGAGATCTACCGCTCCATCGATGAACGAGATGACGAACAGTTGACGGTTTGTAGAAAACCGAAACAGACGAAATTTGGAGGACCTGGTTGTTTTCGAGATGATTTTGATGAACGACGAGCTTGTTTGGTTCAGAAATGGATGGAGAATAAAGTGTGTGAAAAGGCAGTGGTCGGGAGAAAATCGGCGGCGGCGGATCTCGATAGAAGGTCGATTCGAAGTGAACGTGACTCGTTATATTTCAATTCGAGCTCTAGCTCGTCTGGTTCTAGCTCCGGCGGTGGTTTTTCGTCGTCGGAAGGTGAGTTGATGTACGGAGTTTTGTTTAAACCTAGACCTGTTCGAACTAACATCCATCAACATGGTGGATTCGAAAAACGAGAGAAGGAAAGGTGTATGTACGGCCATGGCTATCAGCATCACGTTTTGGAACAGAAGGTTAAGCATGAAAGCAAATTCGTGAAGACGAAATCGAAAGCATTGAAGCTCTACAGTGATCTGAAGAAGGTGAAGCAGCCGATATCGCCGGGAGGTCGGTTATCCACTTTTTTAAATTCACTCTTCACCACCGGAAACACAAAGAAGTCAAAAATGTCCTCCCGCGAGGGCGGTTGTGCGGTGGCGGCGAAGAGTCATTTAGATAGAAAATCAAAATCGGCTAATGCATCTACATGTTCATCTGCTTCTTCATTTTCACGTTCTTGCTTGAGCAACACGCCATCGTCTAGAGGAAATCAGAGCAATGGCTTGAAACGATCGGTGAGATTTTATCCGGTGAGCGAGATCGTCGACGAATATTGTCAGCCATGTGGACACAAATCACTACACGAAGAAGAAACAAGTTTAGAAAGTGTTAAATTCACCAAACATTCAATCAACGAAGAGATTCAAATCAAAGAAGCTGCAAGGAATCTGCTGACGAACTACCAGAAGAAGGTTGAATTGGGATTCGATTCGGAACGGAATAACGTAGACATGATCGGCGCGGAAAACGTTGAGGATGGAGACGGTTCCTATGATGGCAAGAGCGATTCGAGCTCGGACCTATTTGAGCTTGACAATCTCTCTGCTATCGGAATGCATAAGTATCGAGAAGAGTTGCCGGTGTATGAGACAACTAATCTCGATACCAATCGGGCCATCGCTAATAGCCTCCTCATATAGTTGAAAACCTAAAAAGAACGAAACCGAGTTTTATGTGTAACGTTGATTCGATTGCTATATTTTTGTCGGGTTTAAGGGAAGTAAAATTCAAAGTTTAATTCATTAACTGGGTTGATTCAGTTGCAACAAATCATGATCATCGAACAAGATTAATAACAACGGCGGATCTCTTTATCAGTTAGCTCAATTAACAATAAGTTTTGGACCTTTAAAATAGGTTAGTGGTTCGAGTCGGATGTTCCTTACTATTCTCTAAGGCTCCTGGGATTAGTCGGAGTACGCGCAAGCTGACTCAAACACCTACGGTTAAAAAAGAGCACAGATCTAATTTAGAGGGTAGAGGTTCTCTGCCACTGTCCAATTGTTTTGATATAGTAGGGAAAATTTTACGTCTCTCCGTTATGATCTTTGCAGGAAAAAGACATGCCTATAACAATATATTGAATATTAAGTTTAATTGTTAATAACGGTAGAACATAAAAACCTTAACGGCAAATTATTGAATTAGATCTAGTTTTTATGATTTGATCTGTATTTTATAATTATAACAAATACTGATTATTATTATTATTATTATTATTATTATGATAATTATTTTGTGTTAATTAAATATATAAATTTGTTTGGATTAAATAATTATAAAAATCTAATGCATTTTCATTTTATTGAGGAAACTTAACTAACACATAACAGATTTTTTTAATAGACACATTTCTTTTAGTATCTTAAATTTTAGAGGATGGATGTGACTTTTAATACATTAATGTGTTAAAAGTAATTGATATTTGTGGTGTGTATGTAATACCTTTTATTCATGTGGTTGTTTGGAGTTTCATGTGAGAAGCATGTTTTCTCGTGACTCAAACCATTTTTAGTTTATTTTCCAGACATTAAATAATAAAAAGTTTAGTTTTTTCATTTTATATGATATAAATTGGTAAATAAAACAAAAATTATTAAATTATAGTGAAAGTTGGAAGGTCGAGTTGAAAAGAATGGTGTCTAAAGTGGAGACGAAGTTGTTGAACATCGTTTCATCTTGTTCACACAATACCATATAACTTTATTGTTTTACTAGTTATTCGATTGGTTTTCATCATTTTTTAAGATAAATTGTAGAAAAAAAATAACGTACTTTAACTTAATTCTTATTTTGATAACGTACTTTCAAAACATTCATTTTACTACCTAAGATGTAAAGTTTTAGACATTTAAATATCCGGATATGCGGTTGAAGCATTAACCGGTTATCATGCTGATGCGGTGAGTAATGTGATATCCAACTCAATATTATTTGCTATTCAACCAAATTTCATCTCATCACTCGCCGTATCAGCATGGTAACCGGGTAATGCTTCAAAAGTCTACCAAAATATTATCTAAGATGCAAAGAAAAAACCTCAAAAAACAACCACACGAGCCTCAAACATTGGCAAAACAAAACAATAACGGACGAAAACTAAACAGTAGCACCACAAAGATGAAGAGAACCAGCATAATCAGATGGTGTTTTTACATTAAGAACGACCTCCTAAGATGGATTTCAGGTTGCAATACCAATTTGTGCAAGAAGAAAGAAAACCTTTGAACGATGAACTAACCATCACAATGAACTTTAAATCTCAAAACAACCAATAAAGTTTACATAATAAAACCTGAATCTTACATGGTTAGAAAATTACACAAGTAGAATAAAAGCAAATTTTGTCTACTCAACTTTGATGTAGATCTAGCCATAGATCATTTGGTCAACGGCGAGTGTGGCGTTTAAACGCGTGTAACTTTTGCTATGAGATTTTTTAGACCTTAAAAACGTCATCGTCGTGTTTCAGTTATGGGTTTTATGTTTGGTCCATCATCAACTCAATATATATATATATATATATATATATATAACTTGTGTATTGTTATGTTATTCTAAACAAAATATATGTATATTTTGTCGTAAATTAGTTTACTTTTTTCACTCATTTAATAATAGAAAAGAAATGAAGGATTTTGAAGATTTGGATTGAGATTCTTAGATATTAAAATGTCGTTAAAATTGTCGGCTTTTTCTCATTGACTTTTTGATTGATGGAACACCTCCAAACACTTTTAATCTCTTATTTTCCTTTCATTTTTTATAATATTTATTAAAACATTTTTTTTATCTAACCACAATTTCCAAATATCATATAATCATAAAAGATCGAAATAGGGAAATTAAGACTCCGTTTAGTTTAGTTTAGTTTAGTTTAGTTTGGTTTGGTTTGGTTTGCAGAATTATTTTTTAAAGAATTGTACTTTATGAAAGAATTTGAATTTGGATTAGAATGACTTTGAAATCATTGGTGTATTTGGTTTGTAGGATATTCAATAGAATTGGATTCCATTATTTATAAAAAAAATTAAATTACATTTTTATTAATCAAATATTATGAAACAAATATTTTTAATATTTTTTAGAATCTTATTGTATACAATCTTACGAAATCTTGTGAAATTCCAAGCACCCCTAGGATTTCAAAGTCCCATGTTTGTAGGATTTCATTTGAATCATAATATTTCAATTCTAGATAATCCAACAAACAAAACATGAGATTGAAATTGATTTGAAATCTAAATTCATTTAATTCCTACAAATTAAACTGGACATAAATATTATAATTATTTGTTAAAAGACAATAAATATGAATATAATAAATAGTCGAATAATTTTTTTTTAAAAACGAATATATATATATATATATATATATATAGAGAGAGAGAGAGAGAGAGAGGTGAGTTATTATACAACCTCTTACGTTTGTACAACCAATACAACTCAATCTCAACCGTCCATTTAATTTGTTGAATATGTAATTTTATTGAAATTTTGATTGTTTCATAATATAAAGTATTGATCATAATTAATGAATCGTATTCATCTTCCATAAATATTTAAATTATAGTAAATGAACTCTCATCATTTTTATGAATATTTCAATTTATTGGGTTCCATTAGTTGTACAAATGCAATGAGTTGCATTTGAAACAAATTCTCTCTCTATATATATTTGTGGGGCTAATTAATATGAAACACATGATTGATTAGGATGACTTTGGTGTGTTAAGCTCTATCTTTAGTACATTTGCATGTGCATTTAGATTAATCCTTTTTAATTAAGATTGCTGAAACTTTAATTAATCCTTATCCCTTTTTTATTCATCATGCCCAAAAAGCCTATTTTTTATTTTAAATATCAAATTTATTGTAACATATATAATTAAGACTCCAACCGTTGTCACTAAAAATAAGTAATGTGAACCACGCCTCATTTCCATCCATATTCACATACGACAACATCATATTATCTTTTTCCTTTTCAACATAAATATTACTAATAAAAGTTTCATTTAGCAACAATGAGATATAAATAGGGTGATCGAATAAACTAGTCATTTTAAACCATTATCTTATATTTTAACAGTTTTTTCATTTTTAAACAGAAACTAGCCAATCTTTTACAAGGGTTTGTTTCGCAACTTGCAAAATGTACTTTTTATGAATAACTATGATAACCGCATTATGGCAAGTCATTTCACATGTTAGTATTAAGCATAAAGGACATTTCGCAAGCCATCATGCTTATTTAACAACTTATCCCACCAATTTTGTAACCCAACCCCATAAAGAAAACCTTTAGTTTAGAAAACGGGCAATTTCAAGCGACAAGATGGGCATTTGTGAAATCCGCACTATTTTGATCAAATTGAAGAAAATGAGATACACTAAACTAAAAATTATTGCATACCGAAAAATTTGCTTATAAATTACGTGTACGTACTGTGAACATGAATGGTTATTAGAATATTCCTCAGTTTTTCACTATTTTGATCAAATTGTTTTATTTTTTGTCTCTGTCGATATAATACGATATTAGTATCAAACTAATTATTTAAAGATTCTGGTTTTTATGTAATTTTTTTAATTCAGATTGTTATTATAATTTAATTTAGATTAATAACGAAGTAATTTATTATTGGTTTAATGATATAATTTTTATATGGATAATAATTAAATATTTTGTTATAAGTATACGAATTCAAACATGAAATTTTAATAAGTTATACTTATATACGATTTACTTGTGATCTCGAATTTTAAGTAATATGAATCAATAAACAGTATTTAAACTATAAAAATTAGTTTTTAAAAGTATTTATCAAATATTTTATAGATACATAGGAGAGGATGGGGGTTGAGGCGGAGGAAAGGCAAGCCTAGGGGCATATATATATATATATATATATATATATATATATATATATATAGGTGGTTGGGGTGGGGGGGGAGTGATGGGGAAACACCAACAGCAGCAGTAGCCCCCGCCAACCCTATTGCCTGACGCCGTCGCTTACTTTTTCCGGGAAACCAGGTGCCTCCGATCACCGCTTCTAAATAGTAAATAGTAAATAGTAAACAGTAAATAGTACCACCACTTTCTCTCTTTTATAATTCTAGTTTTCTTTCTATAAATAAATCTTTTTCTATTACCTTCCTTATTTTAAAATAAGTATTTATTTTTAAAATTAAATATCTACCTTTTATTAGATTAATTATGAGATGTAAAAAAAAATAAAAAAAAATCTTGATTACAACACTTATGTTAAAATAGAGTATCTATAAATGTAACCTTTTTTCTCAATAATTTAACTTTTGATATTTTATATTACAAAAAAGTTAAATTTATTGTTGGAGATATTCCAAGGATGGAATACTCAATTGATATAATAAATATGGTTGTTTGACAGCTATTGAATGATTTTGTGCAAAATAATTTAAAGTTTCTCGTGATATAATGCAAAATAAAATGTGATTGTTTCATAATTGTTTGCAATGAAATTAGTGCGTTGAATGGTTAAGGGATGAGGTATATGATACAAAATCATTCAGGGAATTTTAGAACCATTAAAAGACGGACTTTTTTTATGCGATACAAGATTCGCCTCTTAACGATTCAGTGGTTGTCTCTTAAGGGGAGTATTAAGAAGTAAACAAACAACTCGTAAAACTATACAAGTTCACAAAGATTAATACCTTT